CATACAAACATATTCAGTTTTCTTATCACTGAATAAAATCTAATGCTTCCAATTAACCCTTTAGAAAAAAATAGGCCGTTTAAGCATCATGTGACAGTGAACCAGTCAAAAAAAATTAATAAGGACATCCCATACAATTTTCAGATTTCAGTTTCAATTGTTTAACTAAAGAAATAAGCTATAGATTAGTATTTATATTATTTGTACACACAAAGAGAATCAGACATAGACACAGCTGTGCTTTATTGCTATACAGGGTAGAGGATTATAAAACATTGGGATAATATTTACGAAATACCACTCTTTTTTTTCACAAACACATTCATATGCAAATGAAAATATATTGTATGTCATGTACAAAAAGAGGATTACAATAAAAAATCATGTAACAAAACAATGAAAGGCAGTGGCATTCCCCTTACTTTAGATGCAGAAATAATAGAATAACTAGATGAGAATTGCCATTTAGCGCTGATAGTAGCACCAGAAAGCTAATCTCTAAGGGGATGTTTTATAGATTCCTGCTGAAGAGAGATGAATGGCAGTATTTGACCTGCCAGAGTGTACAATGTGCATGACAGCCTTAAATGTGGACAGTCAGTATGAATAGGAGGCAAAGGGTTCACAGTGTGGTAAAAACATATTTTTCATATTATATACCGGTAGTCTGTATTTCTTTCCACCTCAACATGTGTATGGTATGGGAAATCCAAACATATTGATCATGCAAGCTAAAAGCCTCATTTCATGGTTTATACACAAAAATCACACAGGTAACCTGAATGCTGCTCATTAGGAATAATAATTTGTATCCTTTATAGATGAACAGCAAAGTTCAGCTTATCTTTTGCTTGTGTTTGCATCATTCGTTTCTTGACAGAGTTTGTAGTTTTCCTGCGGCACACAAGACTTCCATAATGGAGTAAATGTGAGCCACCTCACATAAAAGTGAATTGCATACACAACTGGTAAGGACATAATTCACATTAAGCAGTCAAGTATATTCTTTTCAGAAGCGAGAGCATAACCACAAAGCTACAAAGAATATCATCAACAATCAAAGATGGAATATGTTTGCAGTTAGACTTTCAAAATACTCTGTTGAATATGTCGGTGGAAATCCCCTAAATCCTCATGCACCTTTGTGCTTCTAGTCTGTAAGGCTGAATCAATCTGACACATTGTGGGTGATCGATGGCAATGAGAAATCAATTAGAGCTATTGATACTTAGCATCTCTAATCATTCAGGCATATCTCCCAAGATGAACCTATGGAGAAACACTTGCACCATTCAAAGGTCAACCAAAATACCACTTTAACATTGTGGAGTAAACAACAGCATATATAATAAAATTAAACATCCGTTTTGTATCAGTAAAAAAGAAAAACAGAAAATGCAGAGTGACAGGATTGGGAGGGGGATAATAAATAGGGGGAAAAAAAACAACGGTAATAAACAAGTCATTGTAAAAAAAAAAGAAAATAATCACATTTTTAAAATAAATCTCTTCCAGCTTCTCAGTCATTGCATCAAACCCAAAAACATTCTTTAATTTCAGGGTTTTGATAAACCCTGTTTTTTTTGCACCACTTCTGTGTTGTTTGTCCATCTTTCAGTCTCTATGCTCTTCTGCAAAATAAGCAAAGGACTTAAAACACCAGTCACTATTTACACTGACGTTACCATGGAAACACCCGTAAAGCGAATCTTATCCATCACAGGAGGGGGGCGGGGGTTGAGTTGGAAACAAGGTTGCGACTTGGGGTCAAATGCAGGAGAGATAACTGGATAGATGTGGGGTTAAAGGTCACTGGAGGACAAGAACACAGTGGAAGAATCTGTACAGAAGTCCATTTGATCTGTGTGTGAGCTCTTCTTAATGACACTGAACACACAAATCTGATAAGATGTCAACACAGGCATTTTTAGGAGCTTGAATCTTTAGAGGCTCATGCTAGCTTTAAATCCTGGGATTTCTGTTTTACAAATACACAATTTAATTTCAATTATTTAGAGACTATGAACATGAAAAACATTTCATGGGTGGAATCTGAATTATTTTCCTGCTCTCTAATCATTAATTGGCAGCAGCAGTAAAACACAATGAAGAAATACAATCATACAAATTATTGGCAATGCAAACTCCAACAACTACTTTAAATGTTCTTATCAATGTATGACTAATTGGCTAGTAAAAAAAGTTTTATTTCAGATTTCTAGTTGTTTTCCTATGTCGTCTTCTGTTAATCTACAATGTAATAAATCTGCACTCGATCACTGCAAAAACAATCAAGAAATAAGTAAAAATGCTTTAAATTAAGTGTATTTACCTTTAATTTGAGTAGGTAAATAAGATGATTTGCCAGTAGAATAGAGTATGTTTACTCCCAATATAAGATAATTAGATAATATGCACTTTAAATGAGACAATGGAATTGTTTTATTCTTATTTTTAATGTAAATTGTCTTGTTCCATTGTCCAAGTGTGTCATAATTTCTCTTAAAATCAAGAAAAAATGCACTTATATTAAGTAAAACTACTTATTTAGGTTTTATTTTTTGCAGTGAGACAACAAAGGAATACAAGCCTGAGAACAGTGCATCAGCAAAGTGGTGGCCGCATCATGCTGTGTGAGTGTTTCATTGATAGTGATACAGGTTCAGTGCAAATGGAAGAAAATTATAATTAAAGAGGAACTCTAGACACTATTTTTTCAGACGTATCTTATATGTTTTAATGGTTAAAACACTAGGTTTTTACAACAGGAAGCACTAAAGGCCAAGATATATTCATGCGTTGGGTTGTTATGTGGAACTGTGTGCGAGCCCATAAAATCACTCTACACGCTTAACACGCTCACTGCAAAAACGCTCTAGAAAAAAGTAAATATTTCTTAAATTAGGTGTATTTATCCTTATTTTAAGTAGGTGAATGAGGTAGTTTGCCAATGGAATGAGTATTTTCACTCTTAAAATAAGATAATTAGTTAAAATGCACTTGAAATAAGATAATGCAATTGTGTTTTCTTATTTTAAATGTAAATTGTCTTGTTCCATTGGCAAAATGTCTCTTTTACCTCCTCAATTCAAGAACAAATGAACTTATTTCAAGAAAAGATTACTTATCTAGATTTCCATTTTTTCCAGTGTTGACAGAGAGGGGCAGTGATCAACAAAAAAGCGGAAATGCAGAAAAAAAAGGGAACAATTGACGTCCTGCTTCCAAAATGGCCAGCGCAGTATTATTCATTTAAAATTTATAATCATTAAAGGATGGTAGGTGTGTTTATGGCAACTACAGAAAAAAGAGGTTATATAGGTTTACCAGCTGCACACAAAAAATAACATATGAAAAAACATAGTTTTACTAAATAAAAGATGAATGCAATATATATTGAGGGTAGTTGTTTCACACTTTACTGTAAGTATGCTGTATGTGATTGAAAAAGTAGCTTAAATCCTTGTTTGTACCACAAGTTTGGCCAATAAACTCACCCCTGTTTGTTGTTTTCAGTCTGACTAAACAGTAACAACACTGCATTTGACCACAATTGATGTCAGTACATGCAAACTTGTCTGTGGAGAACAACTTTATATCCTCCCATTTGGAACAGGGCTGCACACGGGGTCCGCACTTAGGGCGGGGACGGCACATTCTATGCAGCGAGTATAAACCAAGCTTTAAGACAACTTCACTGAAGATTCCTGCACTATTTAAACCTTGTACCTGCCAAGAATCTAATCTGCTACCTTAAATTCTTCTAGGCCCACAAATAAAAGCAAATAAATAATACCCAGTCAGAATTATGCCACAAGCTCATTGATTAACAAAAACCTATGAAGCTATGTTGTACTTAGCCTCAGAACATTATTATAAATATTACTGAGAGCATATTTGGCACTTGGGTTACAAAAAATGAATGAACTGAAAAAAAGGAAACTCTTTAGGCCCATGAATGTCTATAAACACTTATTTGAGATGTAAAAAAAAAAAAAAAAAAAAACATTGTTATAAAGTGTGATCTTGCAAAAACAATTTATTTGAAGATTAGATAAAGCAGCACCTCTGATCTGCAGGCATTAAAAGACAGGATGTTCAGTTCTTGGGGAAGACACTGTTATAAACTAAACCAAAAAAAGAAGTGGTTTGCATTTTTTTAAGAAAAAGTTTAATACTTAATTCTATGGGTTTAATTAATTTGATTCAAATGGAGCCCTCATATGTTCTGACCTAACAGCGCTAATGAGACGACAGAATGAGAGTTAAGTTCCTACTTTAGATCCCTTTTTTCTTTTATATACGGTGATTTTCTCAGTCCATATAATCACCTAACAGAGGTAATACTTCTTATTCATTTAAATCAGTCTGTACATCAAAGAACAAAAGAGATATTTTACAGCAATGCCTCAGCCATATTTTTTACTTTGGCACAGTTTCATGATCACAACATGAACTACATACCTTTCTGTTGAGACATTTACACTTTGAACCATATCAGAGTCCTTTTTAGTTTCTCTTTTTAACTGTAAAGGTACGTGCAGTGGCTTGGAATTCGACCAGAGGGCTTTTATTCAAGGCTGGTAAATAAGGAGGAAGAGAAGTGCATTTCGGAATAAAACTAGGGGTTATCCTGACCCCTGGTAGCTTGTTGCCATAGCTACAGAAGCACTTAGGTCCTAAGCAGGCCCGAGCTGGCCACACGGATGCTAAAATCTTGGAAGTTCCTAAAGGTGTTGGGTTTGCTTGTAAACTTCACAAATTCACATGCAAGAACCGCAATGTGCACATGTAAGAACTGAATGGAATATCACAAGACAGCATGTTATCATTGCTATTATCAGCACCATGTTGTGGGGAGGAAACTCATTTGTGCGCAGCAGCAATTCACAATTACAGACTGAGGAGATAAAAGGCCCATTCAGGACCTGAGTTATTTGCTCTTAGGTTCAGCCTCCAATATGTGGACATCATCGCTTTGGTGAAAATAAATAGACATGTTAAAATAATTTATCTATTATATGTCTGTTTTTTTTAAATAAATAAAATAAAAGATAAAACCCACTTTCACTGGAACAGCTGTTTATGCATTTATAGACACTGTGCACATTGAGTTTATATCATATCAGGTAGAGTATCTTCCACAGTCAGTGCAAATACAGGAAAAGCAAAAGCCTCAGCCCAGGGGCTTAAGCACATGCTTCTGGGCTCAGGGCATTAGCGTAGCCCATGGACAATAAGGTTCTTGGCCCATGCGAAAATACAGAAAAAAGTATATTCTGACTGAAAAGTTGGGAGATGTAACTTCAGATTCCATAGCTGTGTCAGGATCAAGGGGAGGCCTTCCTTTTGGTCCACAGCAGTGTGGGGGGCAGTGGTGGGGATTGAGGAGAACGCCGCTGAGAGCGACTCTGCCCCTCACACTGCATTTGCCGCCAGCGCAGAAGCTCCCTGAGGGTGGTGCTTTCATCTTTGTTGGTCAGACGTAGTTGCTGTAGCAAATTGTAAAGAAAAAGAGAAGTTGGATTGGATTAGAAAGAGAGAATAGCAGGAAAAATACATTTTACACTGACAGATGAGATGATCAAGCAAATGTATGGCTCATGAGAAATATGGATGAAAAGTTCAGATGGGACTGAATTCAATCATTTCTATTTTCTATTTCTATTTTTTCTTCTTGTTGATTTGATAGGAGGTTCTGGGGAAGATTTACTTGAACTAAGAATTGCTGCAAATTAGTTTCTTAAATTAATATTGAAGTCTCTGACATGGACAGACTGTTGCTTGTCCTTGATGCATTGCAGGACGGAAGGGCTCTATTAAGTAGCACCTACCATTGTGTCAATCTGGCTCTCTGATCTTTCTGTAATATTGCACGCAGGTGGCACATATATCTGTTTATGTCTGCTCACCCCAGGGCTGGAATTCTATTTAGGCTGAAAATACCATCAGGAAGGATTATTTTTGGTATATAGTTGTATTCTTACAGTATCATGATCAAATGTTTTTATTTTTATTTTTTTGTATGGGCATATAACAAGACTATGCTCTTTAATTGATGCACAGAACAGCAAAATTATTGTCATTTGTGTCTGGTGTGATTCATTACGTGGCCGAGTTACGGGCCTATTATGAGGATCTGCTAAGTTTTTGGTTAAGCCCATATATTATAATTACGACGGAGTATTAGGGCCACACATGAAGAGAAAAAATATTTTTGACATGACGAGATTAAACTCGACATTTCGACTTTAAAGTCGACACGTCGACATTAAACTCAACATTTCGAGAATAAAGTTGAAATGTCATGTTGAGTTTAATCTCGACGTGTCGACTTTAAACTCGCCATTTCGAGAATAAAGTTGATATATCGTGGCGACTTTAATCTCGACATTCCAAAGTTTGGAGAAAAGAGCAACCGCGCTCCACAGCTGCAGTCTGCGTTTGGAGAAAAGAGCAACCGCGCTCAACAGCTGCAGTCTGCGTTTGGAGAAAAGAGCAACCGCGCTCAACAGCTGCAGTCTGCGTTTTAAGAGTGAAGGTAGTCTTTGACGTGCTGCAACTATATAATCATCACAGGAAGCGGTGGCCTACCAATAATAACGTAACATCTTTCCCTATGCTTACCCAGGCTCGCAGTTCTGAATTTGAGAACATGTCAGTCATTTCAACTTTATTCTCGAAATGTCGAGTTTAAAGTCGACAGGGCGACTTTAAAGTCGACATGTCGAGTTTAATCTCGTCATGGCAAAAATATTTTTTCTCTTCATGTGTGGCCCTAATACTCCGTCGTATATAATCCCTGATTTCACAGACTTAGCAGTTTAATGTGTTAACAATAACCCAGGTACCTGCAGATGACTGGATGTCCAAGATGTCTATAATCCTTACCAATCAATCAGGTAATTGTGGAACTCAAAAGGCATTTTTGTATAACCTCTAGAAACCCATTGGATGTCATAAAAAAACTTTTAGGAGGACTTATTATATTTCAGCCCTGCAGAAGTACTCTGATCTGTACATTTTCTGTGACATTGTCACAACACCACACCAATTATACACAAACAGCAACAACATACTGTTACATACCTGGACATATGTTTCAGATAACCCTAGAAGCTTAAATACCCAGATTGAACATCTGCAGCAGCAGAGTGCTAAGGAATCTAATCCATAATTTACACATCTCTGTTAGGTTATTCAATGCTTTGGCGCCAGCCAGGAACATCAGCTACTGAAACAGCAGACAAGAGGGAACACCATGACCTTCTGCAAAGCATGACTGCACATGTGCTCACATAAACACACATACATCTAAACAAGAAGGATCGAAAATATTTTTTTACTGTTATTGATATTAAGAGATTTCTAGTTTTTAACCTTGCTGTTGCAGAATTTTGAACATTCATGCAATAACCTCCAAAAGATTTCTAGCTACATAACCGGATAAGATGTGAATGTGGCATTAAATGATTACACAATAATACAAGCATTTCCTAGGACACAAATTATTGGATAGCATCTGTGATGTAATTTGGCATTTTCTTACCAACTTCTCTTCTGTAATTATCCATTCTAAATTAAACCTAAGATTTCCGGAAATTGATGGATCAGCTTGATAAAGCACTAGCAAAGGTGTTAATCCACACCTATGACAGTGGGACAAGGTGTTACAATCTGCTATATGTTAACAAGTTTATTGGGTTATGATAGTACAGCATCAGCATGAACTTTCTTATATGGTTTTCTACAAATAAAGGACTGTAGGACCAGTTGCAATTTAAACACAACTTAGATTAATTATTGATTTGACAAGACATGGCAGCGATAGGCCTTAAAAACACAGTGAAAAAAAATGGGACTTCAAGTCCACCTATTTACATGTATACTGAGTGTAAAGGGGTAGTTATACACCCGCAGCAGTGTGTCGCAGTGAGCTTGTCACATATTTTTGATTTATGCCCAATATTGAAACATGGTCTTCACTATGGTATTCCATGCCACAACGCAAGAGGGAAAATCACAAACTAGTTGTGGTCTAGATACGGCCGAGGCGGGGAGAAAGTGGGGGCAAGTTTGTGCGTCAAAGGAGGGACATGAGGGCGAAAAAGAGCGAGGATCCAGGTGGAAAAAGGGTCTCAGCGTTTTCACACACCACTCTAGTCTGAATTCACGAATCGTTTTCTGCAATGGCAGTCATACAAACAAAACAGGCCGGTAAGATACCAAACAGGAAATACGGATAGTGTAGAGCGGATGTAGATTTGACCAATCAGAGGCCTCCTGTTTGCAGTACTGTCTGCGGTCTGCAACAGTTTTGGAGAGGTGCAGCAGAGTGTCTGCAGCAGGGGCAGCGGCACATCTGCATTCACTGCAACACACATGCAGATGACCTGGTTTCTGAGTATAAATCAGCCTTAAATCTGCAAGTTTTGGATTGAACTGAAAATGTGACACTGGCTACAGAGTCAGTTTTACAATAATTTTGACTGGGACCAAATGTAATCTGAAACAGAGTAATATTCCATTCTGTAGGTGTTAAAGCAACAATTGGTTTTTACTGATTTTGGTGCATTAAGCTTGTATATCCTGAATTAAACTTAAACAATCATTCTAGGACTATATATATATATATATATATATATATATATATATATATATATATATATATATATATATATACATATATATATATATATGTATATATATATATATAGGGTAAACTTTAATAACCCTTACTTACTTTATTTTCCAATTAACAATTGTGTTCTGCAGTTTTAGAGATTCCTTCAGTTTGAATACTTCTCGAAAAAGGTAGAATTACATTTTTCCCATTCAATAACAAAAGAGGAAATAGAATATGAAAAAATATACTTATATTTCAATATCTTCTCTTATGTCTAACTGTATCCATTTTATATCAAAAGAAAAGCTGAGCTTCGCGAATATTATGAATATTGTGTTAACATAAACTACTTGTGCTACATGAATATGGGCTAATGGGCTAAGGTAATTCTTTCTAAAAGCTTGTAACCTGATGATTATAATATACTGATTATACTGATATACTGAAAACATTGGATTCTGATCTTGGAATATAATTATAAGAAAAACATCCTTTTTATTATTATCCCAAGATTATGTCAAAATATATAAAGTATTCAGCCAAACACTAAACATGACTTTCGGTATACCTTATTTATACGACTTCGTACAAAAAAAAAAAAAAAAAATCATTATATTTCTGCAAGTGTTCTTCCAAATCTGTCTATTAGAAGAGCAGATTATTAAGATGAAAAGACCAAAAATATCAAACGTAGATCACTTCTGTGTGAGATTTTTTCTCAAAACTATCTTTTACAGAGATAGAGTATCGTACTGTTCGTCCCTCTCATACGTTTCAGAAATGGGAATGCGGTGTGCCAAATGCTTCTAGGAAGCAAACATGTGAGGACTGCTACTTTAAATGTCACCGCCTTTACTGAGACATTGACTGAGGGGAAAAACAAAACTATCAATCTTTGTCGTCTCCAGTCACTCAGCTGTCTGTCAATTTGGTATATAATTAGCCTTGATTGCACTTACAGAGAAATACAAACCAGAGTAATCAACTTTCTCCCTTTATCTTCTAACATCCTTTTTTCTTATTAGTTATAAAAATCCTTTGCAAACATAGTTGGAATGGAGTTAAAAGACAAAAATATTCACAGCATGAATCTAATTTGGTGGAAATGAACAAATTAATTATATTGAAACTGCTTCAAAATCCATCAGAAAAGTATTATTCTCTTATCTTTGCCTTGCAGTATTTGCAATATTTCAGCTGTGATGAACAGAAAAGACAGAATATTTAACAAATGTAAATGTGTGTAAGGCTTTACAGGCATTAGATATGCATGAATAAAGCCCAGTTCCTAATTACATATAACATGGACTAATAAATCAGGGAAAATGGCCTGTAAATGGTTTAAAAAGCAAATCAAAAACCGAATTAAGCAACGCAGAAATCAAAGTAGGTAATCAGCAATTAAAATCAAAGATGGATCAATCAGAGAGTTGTGGCCTTTTTCTGGCTGTATTTGAGAATTGCAACCTTCACTTTGTGGGGAATTTGATTTATTTATCTATGAATAGGGCCTGATGGGAATTGTAGTCATGATGCATTTTGAAAGCTGTGAGTTGGACCCTAATTTCCTTTCTTGCCTTATGCAGATGTACTAAGGCAGATAATTAAACCCAAAGCTGCAAACTAATCTGCAAGTGTTTGTAATGGTGGTGTCACACCTTGACGATTTAGCCAGCATATGCCGACGTATGAAAAATCTCCCGAAAACTCTGGCATACATTATAAGTTATGGGTACGTTTTGTATAAGTCATGAACATGCTGAAACACACTGGCACATGTTGACATACGGCAAGCATGTATGCCAGCGTATGCTCATACGTGGTCCATAAGTTATGTGATCGTTGACACACATTAATTCTATCTGTATCCAACTTCCTTCCTTCCTTCCTTCCTTCCTTCCTTCCTTCCTTCCTTCCTTCCTTCCTTCCTTCCTTCCTTCCTTCCTTCCTTCCTTCCTTCCTTCCTTCCTTCCTTCCTTCCTTCCTTCCTTCCTTCCTTCTTGGCAGGCAGCAAACAGCAGTTAGGTTAATAACGCGATCACAGAAATCATTTTATTCAGGCCGGGTGCAGGCTGGGTGCAACGCTGCTCCCCTCAGGACACTGTCTTGTGAAATTTCATGGGCATTATGCTGCCATGCTTTATGCATAAGATATGACATAAGTTCTGGACTCATTATGCATACGCTATGTATACGCCCCAAAAATAAAAAAATTACATAGAAAGCTCAGCCTATGCCAGCACTTTAGAAGATTCTGGGACGTCCAGCATACACTGACTAAAAGGTGTGACACAGTCATAAGCAGATGGAGGGATGTGGCTTTACGTAAACTCTTATTGGTGACTGGTCAGCATAACTATTTTTTTTTAAACTTGGAGGTAGCTCTGTAAGCTCAATCACTAATTCCACGAAACATCCCCAGGGCAGTTATGAGGAGAGACAAAAAGCCTATTTTGTACACAAAAATAAGGGTTATAAAATGACTCCAAACTTCAAAGACACAAAATAGCATCACATCTTCAGATTTCTATCAGTAACAATATTCACAGCTACGTTTTCATGTTTTTGGAATGGTTTTCTTCTTGCCTCCTGAACAGAAATAATGAGTTTAATAATAATGAGCAAAATGAATTTTTTTTATGACTTTATGCTCTAAATAAAAGCATAAATAAGGTAACATGGTTCTTGACTTATGCACTGATGCAGAATCACCAAAGAATACTAATAATTAAAAAAGCGAATAACATATAAAGGTGGAGGAATGAAGAATGTCAAACCAACGTATTCTTTTTGGTGGAGCAGATGATCTATAGATGAAGCTAAGCAGAAGCAGTGCTTTTCACAGGTTTCCCTTCAGAGAATTCCCCTATTTTATGTAAAAGTTAATGATCAGAACATTGTGATCTTCTTTCCTTGGCTTTGATGGCTCATAAAAAAACTCAGGCTCCATGGATAACTAGACTATTAATGACTTTCACCCAATTTTCTTAGGAACTAGTAGGATTTTGCCCAATTTCTATGAAAAACACTGCTATTACTGTCACACTGAAGAGCAGCATGGATGTGACACACTCACCACATCCCTACATTTGGAAAGTGTTTCCAATAAGCCCCCCAGACCAGCCTCTCTGTTTCAGAGGGCAGCCCCTGCACCAAATGGAGAAAAATTAAGATGCCCTCTCTGGAAAATAAACAAAGCAAAAAAAAGCAAAAAGAAGGTTAGAATTGTAGAGAAGATGAGATATGTTAGTTGGAATCTACCTCAGGCGTCTAGAAATATTGTGAATAGCAATACCAGCACATTATCATTTTGCTTGCATACACACAAGTTGGCTATAAATGCAGGGGAAAAACGTTTCCTCAGTCACAGGATTTTAAAGAAGGAACACAGGGTGCTTTCACACCTCTTGTGGAGTTGGTTTATGAAAGGTGAATCCTGTGAGCTCGTCTTAAAATGGTACACCATGTCCTTTGCTTATTCCTTCGCCTCCAGCTTAGCAAAATCCGGTGCAGATCCAATATGTGATTAAAATTCACTTAGCTTTACTGAATAAACACTCTATGTTCTGATCTGTATGTTCTAGATTATACTATATACTATAAATGAGTAATTTTAGCTTGCTACCATAATTTAAACTCATATCCATCTAAATTAATAATAAAGTGGATTCTAGACAGGTATGTTTCACCTGGTCAGTAGACCTTGATGACATCACAGGCATTTCTTCATTAACTCTATAATAACATGAAATAAGTCAATCAGAAAGCAAGTGTCAGCTCCTTTTTATTTAGTTTGATGATAAGATGATCAGAATATTATTTAATCTTAGGTTTATTAGCTTGGTAACATATTCCAAGCTTTGCAGAATTCATATTTTCTCAGTTATCTTCAGATATAAAAAGCCAATACAGGCCATAGTTATCTATATGCCTTCTGTATTCATATACTTTTATTTACAAATTCATTCTTGGCCTTTTATCCTCATATCTACATTCTAGGATATTAACAAGAGTACAGATACAACCTATTCTTGGATTTATTCTTGTCATGGCTTTGTTGGACCATGTTGGGCTACTCTAGCTTGGAACTCAACGCTTATCCAGACATTTTGAATTGAAAATGCTTCCTGGATGAGAAACAAATCATCTTCAGGCTTGGAAAACAAATTCCAGTGGTTTGTTTTTTAACTATTTTGGAATGACTATGCCCTGGATGACTGAGAATCTTCACCAGCACATGTGCTGTGTAATACTGCCATGGGCTAACTTTGCCTGTTTTCATGGAGTTGTTAGTGATTACACCAGAAATACAAGCATTTTGTAAATCCCACTAATAAAAATATGCTATAAATGATAGCTCTGTCTTCAGTTCCAGGCCTGAGATGGTAAGAGTTTGGGTCCAACTTTCTACACGGGAAAATTCATAGAATTGATTGTGTAAAATGTTAGATAAAACACATTCTGAGAATGTTGTGGTATTTCATTTGTGTTGAACTCTTTCAGCAAATTTTCCCCCATTTAGTGGTTAACAATGGCAAAACTGCCTCAGATCAAAGGAAAAGATGAATTTAATCTTTAGGAGAAAAAAAAGGCTATTACAGGGTGTTCTTGCCTGAAGTGAAATTACAGCACGTAATAATCAGTATGAAAGCCTGAATCTATTTATGACCCCAACTGACAGTTTTTGTTTGCGGCTCGGGTCATGCAAGTTCAATTTCCTACTGCTTTAGGCTCATTGACATTTACAGCACTGCTTAGTTGGACCTCTCGGTTTTCACTAGTTTTCACTTGAATGTGTGTGAGTTTGGCTTCAAGTGAACAGGACAATGAATTTAATCGTGTAACAGTACACCTGTCTGTAGTGTCTGAAAAAGCTCGGATATCATGAGAGGTACATGGTGTTCCTAAGAAGGTGACTTTTTCTCTTCACTTGTCAACAAACCCAAACACTAAAACGTCTATCATTACAGAGGCTGTGTGTGTGTGTGCCACTGTGAAGGTGTGTGAGTAAATGTTTGTGTCCCTGTAACCAGCTATAAGTAAACAGATCTTAAAATGAAGGCCAACGTTTCACAAAGTCTGCAAATTGAGGTAACTAAACATAATAAATTGACTTCTGGGGCTAACAGGCCAAAATACAGGAATTGTACACCACTTGAAACTGAAATGGAGATATTATGAAAACAAACTTTACATTTTCTGTACCGGCACATAACATACTAGCAGGTAAATATTTTACATAGATGTTTATATAGGTGTGTGTTTACCTGAGTATGGTGGCTATCCAGATGTCTGTGCAAAGAGGTGCTGCTAGAGTTAGACTTGCTGTTGGTATCATCTTCTAGTGATCCTGCATATTTTAGAAATAGCAAACATATAACTGGAGGGTCAAAATAAAAGTGGCATCCTTTTCACAGTACAGGTGCATCTCTATGAATAAGAAAATAGCAGAGAAAGTAATTTATTTCAGTAATTGAACATAACAATTTAATGTGAAGTTTCATATCAATTCATCACACAAGGAATGTATATTGCTTGTGACTAGACCAAATATCTAGTCATTATTTGGTCAGTTTTAATTAGAGTTTAAAGCTAATGAATATCTAAACTTTAGTTAAAAAGATATATATATAGCATAACTGGCGACCTGTCCAGGTTGTACCCCGCCTCTCGCCCATAGACAGCTGGAGATAGGCACCAGCACCCCTCGCAACCCCAATTGGGACAAGCGTGTCAGATAATGGATGGATGGATATATAGCATAACACCTATAAAAATTATGTCCAATGAAAAAAATGTTATGTATTGGTTGTGTTTTGGTCAACACTAAGTGTGTTAGCTGGAGAACCCTCCTACTTTAAGAAGGTATGCTAATCAGAGATGTAGCTCTAAGAGTTTCACCATTTTCTTGGTCTGACTTAAGGATAAAATAAATCAGACTGACTGTCCTATGTGTTCCTTTTGTAAAAAGTCTTTTGCATTGTATATTTCTATACTCCAAATAGGTGTAAATTCTTGCCTTGACTTTTAGTGTTTTAATACTTTCGTGAACTCTTGAGGTTACAATCAATAAAGTTAGAGTAGCCTGGTGGTATTTTTTATTTAAATTGACTCGCTATAAAACCAGGGAGTAGTGAAGTACTGTACCTTGTAAAGCTATAGAAGAGGAATGTGGAGTTCCCTAAACCTTGACTGATCTAACAGTATACCGTTAAGCAAACCATGAATTCAGGAGATTATGCTTTAGAAAGTCAAAGTGTAAAATGTAAAGCCTTGTAATCTTACCATTAGATATTTGGTTGCCGTTCTCAATAGGGAGAGGGCTTGAGGAGTGCAGAGAGTGGTTGTTGGCATTCTTGTCTTGTAGCTGCAGAGATGGTGAAGTGGGTGCAGAGCCACTTTCTTCTCTCCCTGGCAAATTAATGTTTGAATTGAATCCTAGAAATAGTAAAACCAGAGAGAAATATATTACATGCATGCACAAATCACATTAGCAGAAACCAGACAACAGACATCTAGATTGTGAACTGTGCTAGCCTTTCTCTTATTAAGGGTCTCGAGGGCTTTTTCCATAGTGCATCTTTCCTGTAAAATGAATTTGACCTAAACATTTTTTGTAATTCATACTATTTCATACAATTCTAGTTAAAGAGGGAACTGAGGAACTTTTCAATTCTACATAGTTCTCTAATTTCACACGTGTGACAGACAGTGAAAGAGATCTTTCACCATTCATGTTTGCAAAATCTCTCTGGGTCATCCAGAGTCCTAGATCCTCTCATGTGCTCTCTTGAAATGGAATTCTGACTTTGAGTTGAATTGGCCAAATGTATTAGATCAATATTCTGATTCAAGACCAAATGATAACTCATGCTCGATGCTGTGGTAAATAGAGGAGTTATTCGTTTGAGGGCTTTAAAAATCTTTTGTAATAAATAACTGTAAAGGGTGATTTAATACAGTATTAAAAGATCGTTTTTAGTGTACACAAATGGTTTAATCATTCCTAAAGTGAAAAACTTTTATATTTTTGAATTCATCACTACATTTGAGAAGCTTCAAAGGGTATTTGAAAAGTTTCCATTTTCGCAATTTGTTGTTAAGTGTCTTTACAGCTTGTATTGTAAGTCATCAAGGTTTCTATATGTTCACAAGCGTCTTGACTTGTGTGCCAGTATATCATCAGCCGATGTCCTTCACTAATAATGTCTGGCTTTTGCCCCACTGCACCTACCCCCACCCAGTAACATGATACCGTAATATACTACATGCTTAGCCGACTACTGTAACATAGATTCCAGGGTTAAAGTTTGTATCCGAGAGACGAATGATCATATCTAGTCAAAGTCAGACTCTAGGGAACGCAGTGAAGTAGAACTGGAAGCTTATCTTCCTCATTTCTTTTAATCATATGTCTTTTTTATGACACAGGTTTGTGGGAGAACCCAAATTCCACCTGTCCTCTTTCTTAGCCATTTCTGTGGTTTTCTCATACCATCGGGGTGAGGATAAGGAGGGGTATACACAGCGGGGGAATCAGCTGTTCTTCACAGAGATGTTGGGGATAGCAACTGTAACCTCTGCTTGCTCCCCAGAGCTGAGTATCACATTCAGTCATTTAACTACCCAGAGGGAACGGAAGTGGCTTGTCCTGTTAAACCCATAGGCATCCCTATGCACTTAGATCTAAGGCGGCTGCCGCGGTCTGGCTGCTCAAAATACTCCACCGCCCGGCCTTCTGTCACACACACCATTTTCCATGATGCCAGTGCTTTTTCTGCTCCAGTCCAGGTGCTGACGAAGAGTCAAGTACAGGATGTGATGTGGGGCAAATGCGTCATCATACACGCTTGCTCGCATACAGTGTCTTATAAGGTTGTTAGCACCCCGCTCACTGAAATTTTTACCATTATAGACGCATGATGCAATAGTTTGATACGCACACCGAGCAGCTCCTTAATAAGGCAAGAGAAAAATTATCATCTGTTTGGACTAAAAGCTATATCTCCTTTACTCTGCTTGAGTTTTTTTTTTTTTTTTTTTACTTGCACTCTAGATATTTGACCAGGTTGTACTGTTCGCTGCTTCAGAACATTCACACTCCTTTCAGTAAAACATGAGTGAGGTGTTGAATATTTAATGCCTAATCCTCATCATTCTACTGCTCATACATTATTAACAAAGCCCCAAGTTACACACTCTGAGGAAACACAGTTGGATAGCAGAATTTCTATCTTCGCTGATAGGACAGAGTTCTGCTAAGATTGCATCAGAATATTTACAACACTGCAAAGCAATCTGTTCTTGGGTTTGCATACTCTGACCTGCTGACATTCAACAGCTCTAACTTTGACATAAATGTCTGCCCTACTTTTTTAGGATTTTGTCTGCACTGCATGTAGCACACTGAATTGCTTGGTGCAATAACCAATTTGCCTACATTTAACAGAGCTGATTTAGAATCCACATGTGCAGATACTCTAACAGTATATTTCAATAATATGGAAAACAGGGTTAACGTTGTAAATATCAGAATACCCAATTCCCAAACCTCCTAAAACAAGCACAACTAAAACAACAAGCTTTCACTTTGTATACAAAACAAGGTTTTATCTCAACTTTGATATGCTTCTACTGCGTGGGAGGTAAATAAATGGTTAATAAATCTCATTAACCCATTCAAATGGAGAAAACAGAAATCAGAAAGAGTCAATGCAAAACACAACTGCACAAAAATATATACATTATCCATGCTCCCACGTGAAGAAAAGGTAACAATCAATAGTTATCTATTTAAATCCGAATGTATACCAATCCACTGAAAAGCGTATGTAGTTACCTGTGTCTCCATATTTAGAGATTTGGTAGAAGGCCCACAGGAAACAATCCTCCCTCATTCTTTATACATCTATCTTCCAACCCAAAGAGTGCCTGTTTTCATACAGTTTCTGATTATTTATTAGTTGTAGGTTGTTTGTACAGGGACAAAATCATATTATTTTTAACTGCTGCAACCACCACCATCCCCGGCTTTACACAGGAAATGGTAGTAGACTTTAGACACTGTAGATCCATGGTAGCAAATCCATGCTAGCCTGGAAGACATGAAAATCACCATCATCTCCAGCCCTAGCTATCTGGAAACACATCTTGGTATTAATATGGACTAGACCAATCACACAGAGACATTGCACACCAGTGGCCAATATCTTCAATGACAGCAGAGATCATCAAAACTCTGCATGTCGCTACTGTGTTCTATCAGCCGTGGCAGCTTAATAGTTGCTGTTTGTTGGGAGAGGTTGCCTGTCTAGCCGATAATAAACGAAAGACAAGCACCACAAGTGGCACACTTCTAAGCCAAGTTCAGCAGGTTTCAGAGGGGAAATAATCTACCATCTGTAGAAGCCCCTTTAATATACTGATCATTGAAGGATACAGAGTGCTTCAGGAACTAATTCCTTTTAATCAGCCGTTAGGGTTATTTTATATGTATTTAAGTCAGAGTTTGTCTCCATTGACCTAAGAGCCAAGTTGAACACTGAACATATTTTCTATATATTTCCCTTTTCCATCAGACTAGTTTCCATTTATATTATTCACCTGTACAAATGATTAGATGCCCTTTTCTGCTTGTATCACCTTTTAATAATTAAGTGCTATGCTAATGCACTGGCATTACATATACTTTGGCTCATGCTGTAACTTAATTAAGAAGTTTATTTCTTGTTTTTGCAAAGCCTAGGGATTTCTTTTCTTTACTTTTTTTCTTTTCTAACTACTACTGGAATAATGGTAATGGCACAGGCTGTGCTAGAGACATGTTCACTATGTCTAGTGAGAATAATTGCAGGATGTTGCCATATACATTTTTGTGCAAAATTGGCAAACAAAACAAGAACTAAAGGACAGACATGTTGCAAGCTACATCTTAAGCAACTGAATAAAAATATAATTTTGCCAGTGGCTATAAAAAATAGAAAATTAACAAGGGTATTTTATTATTAACAGACCTCCATCTCTCATTTTGCGACCGGGTGTCGACTTCCTCAGCAGGCTGCGTCCTGAACTGAACAGAGTGTTGAGCTCATCTAGGGGGCTAGTTAGGGGTCTGCCATTGGCTGGGTTAAACAGCAGCGGTGACGATGAGCAAGAGTGTGCCCTCCGTGGCTCAGGTCGAGACATCTTCACTGGAGAATAGGGAGGCGGCTTCCCCAGTGGCTCCACAGCTGCCCTTTGAGAGGAGATTTTGGGGGAGTTTGAGCTCCCATTGACAGATGCTGCACGAGTCAGAGCAAGGAAGTTGGCCTCAGGTGGGAAGGGGAAGTGTGAAGGGGGTCTGTAGAGAGGAGGTGCTGCACTTGGGGGAGGAGGAGGTGGTGGAGGGGTCAGTGGAGGAGTAGACTTCTTTTCTGGCATTAGGACTGTAAGACTAGGTGAAGAATCAGCCCTTTGGCGAGAAAACTGTGGGGACAGAGGGCTGTCTGGCCCTGTGGCATAGTTTAGATTAGTTTCAAAAACAGGCAGCTTTTTTACTTCCAAGGGGGTGAGTGGTGACTCATCTGATGCAGGAGAACAGGTAACAGGTGAAGGAGGAAAGACCAGGAGGGGAGGGCGGTGAGGGAGTAAGTTGGGGAAAGGAGCAGGAATCTCACAGCTACCATCTTTGCCAAGGTGAGCTTTGGAAGAAACTCCGCCAGACAGGCCTGGTGTAAGAGAAACATCCATTGCAGAATTGGCACTGGCTGATGTTTGTTTGTTCTCCCCACCTTTTGGAGGAGATAAACCCAGTCCGATCAAGCCCAAGGATAGAGTTTGCAGCTTGGCTGCCTTGGTGATAGCAGGGACAGGATTTCCGCCATCTTCAGGTGGGAGATACTTCATCTCCTCATAGACAGCCTCAGAGTCAACCAGCTCTGGGCTGTCAGGGGGCTCCTGGAGACTACGAGCCCGTGGCTGAGACCCTAACATTTCTATGTATACATCCTCTTCATCTTGGCCCTTGTATAAGCTGAGGGCCACTCCTTTTGGTGCATCTAAAGAAGCCGCTCTCTGCATCGGGCCGATTCCTCCGAAACCCCCGCAACGAGAAAGCAGGGCCAGTTTTACATCAGCAGGGCGTAGCTGGTGAAGCAGAGGTGCCACAGCATTGATTTCCTCATATGAGCCTGTCAACTTAGTGTTAGGGCTGCGCTTAGGCTTGGGTGGTGGTACTTTTCTTATAGTTGTGTAGTCATCACTATGGGGGCGGGGCTTGGCTGAGGAAAAGATAAAAGAAAGGGATTTTGAAACAAATCAAGTCAAGGCTATCTGCAAGATAAAAACAAAACACATACACTCTATAGTGGCCTGTTGGATTTTGGAACATATTTGAATCTAAGGATTGTTAATTAGAGAAATTGTGCATGACACAATATTGAGCCTATTTAACAAGACATTTATTTTCACTTCACTGGGAGAGGACGCTGAGAGGACGCTGGCGTGTTTGTCGCCGCTTCTCGCATCCGACCTTTTTTATCCCTTATCCTTTTTACCTCTCCTTTTATCCGTTTATCTTTCCTGGTTTGCCTACCTTTCCTAACCCCCTCCCTGTCCCTACCCCCCTTACTTCACCTCTTGTAAAGCGACCTTGGGTGTCCTGAAAGGCGCTATATAAATCAAAGTTATTATTATTATTATTATTACTTACAATGTCTAAAATGACACACATCAGCTTATATATAAGAGTGTATATAGGCTATATATAAGATTTTGGGGCTCCTTCTTCAATCAGAGACTGACAAAGTTTAGCTAGCATAAAACGTGCAGTTGAAGAAGTTAATTGCAATGGCACACATAACAACCACACTAAGGATTATTAAAAAATAATGTAAAGAAATAACTATTCTTCTGGTAAAATATTCTTTGGGGCTAAATTTCTACAAGTGTATTATCTGAACATGAGAACAGAAGGCTTGTCTGTTTAAAACCCATTTAACCATTTTAGTACAAGAACATCATGTCAACTGTGAAGCATGGGAGTGAAGGTGTAATGGTTTAATTTTGCTTTGTGGGGGAAACCCCACAAAGCAAAATGAACTGAATATGGCAAGATATAATAAACAAAAATGCATTCAGATTCCGACAAGAATGAAACAAAAGATAAGATAAGATAAGAACAAAAGACAAGTATGAAGAGAAGAAGTAAAATAAGGAGTGATTGCAGAACTCTAGCATTCTGTTATAGAGTGTTTGACATTCCAAAAAAGTTCAAAAACAAGTTAAAAAGTTATAAAACATTATCTGACGTGTCACTTTCAAATAGTTTCTTACACCTCTGTTTTTCTTTAATAACAATTCACCACTAAAGGTGTTAGCAAATCTAAAAATCAAATTTTGAACACTAGCTGATCTCTAACAAAAAATTTACAACGATAATAGTTAGTTTTGCAGTAGATGTATGTACCTGCTGGGTCACTGGGGGACAGCTGGGATTTAGGAGGGCTTCCAGCAGGTGAACTGGACCCCTCTGGAGTATAGCTTTCTTTGGCAGCCATTGTCAACCCTGCACTAACAGCTTCATAGGACGCACTTAGGCGAGTATTGGGATCCCTCTTTGGTTTGGGAGGAGGTTGCTTGCGAGGTGAGGACAGACTCCCACTTCCTGCTCCGTCCTCAACGTTCTGCTGCAATGATTGTTTGACTGGTGGACTAGCAGAGAAATGGACCATATTGTCCAAAGCAAGGGGAATGGGTACTGAGCTGGAACGAAAGTGACGAATAATTCTGCCTCCTGCAGTGACATGACCCTCATGGACTTTTCCGCTCTTCTCCACCATCCTGAAAAACAAGGAAAAAGAATCAATATGGGGCAGAGAGCAATACTTGGCCTAAGATTAAAATTGTGTATGATCCCAACAGTATCTTTAGCACTACCCTAAAACTATTTATGTCCATTAACATACTGAGAATTTCCTCTCTCTCACACATAATAAAGTGCTTTATGACTTAATAAATATGTATCTTATATTTAGTATACTTAAAACATAAACCCTAATTAAGTAATATTTAAAGAAAAAACAACCAAAGAAGCAATTTCATGAAAACAGTCAAAGCGATTAGGATTTAAATATAATCTCCTTGGTGTAATTGGATAACATCTAACTTGATATTTCCTCTGCTAATCTGAGGCAGCCATCTGTTACTTCTGCAAACGCAGGTCGGGGGGTAACTAAGCCTATATGAGGAGGGGGATCCAGAAAGGCATTTCAAGAATAAAAAAGAAAAGTCAGGCAACTGAAAACATGACTCAGCTGATAACAGTTAGTTTGTTATTAGCCCCTCTGCTCCTGTCCCATAAGCAGATGTTATGAGAATAAGAACAAGGGCTGTGTCCGAATGTCCACCTTAATCCCTATATAGTGATTATGCCATTTCAGATGAGTATCCCAACATCTAGCGCATGAAAAAGTAGTGGAATTGAAATTTCCCACAATGCATCTTGAAAAGTAGTGATGATCTATGGTCACTAGATGAGCAGATATACCCTGGATAATGCTTTGCGGAAGCTCTCTGCATCTGTTAATGCTTCTCCGGAAGCATTAAGAGGTTTGTTGTAACACCGGCCTGCTGTTGTGACAAATTACAAAGATGGCGCAGGCACCATGCGAGGAGGCAGGGTCACGTGACAAGAGGGGAGCAAAAGGTAGTGGTCATCTATCAGGTAACCATATTCACCATAAAGTCCACTATATAGTCCCCGCTCTGAAGTAGTTGCCGTTCAAAATTTCCCCACTTTCCTTGATGGGCCCATGCCTGGTCTCCTATAATTCCTTTTTAAAAATCTATCTTTGTACTAAAAAATTCTGTCTGTCATGATTTTTGGACATTAAGATCTAAACAGACGCCTTATCACCTGGTCAGACCCTGTACTTTAGTGAACGGATGGAGTCAGAGTATAAAAATATGCATACCCAAGAGAAGGCCAGTGGCTGGAAGTTGGAGGGGTTTTTGCTGGGAGCTGCAGGGAAATGTGCTGCCCTTCGACTGGCTTTTGACCTGGAAGGGATATTCTGAATGGCTGCTACTGTATATAGTGACTGAGGGATGTAGGGGTTAGGGCGGACACTCTTATCCAGCCAGAGACAAGATGCAGAAATCAGGGGGGTGTTGTCTTGCCAATGTTGAGGTATAATGATTGAGTTCTTTCTACTGATCCATTATTTTGGGGTTGCCACAGCAAGTCATTATGGCTAGCTAGTCAGACTGGGCAAAGTTCTTATGGGGGATGCCCTTCTCTCCCAATCCGGGATTCAAACCTTAGTCCCCTGCCCTGTTAACTAGTTTTACCTTTTAAGGCTATAATTACATCAGTGTGACTTAAGTATTCTACCAATCTCTGACACAGTTTTGAGAAGGACAAGGGATTTCAATTTCTTAAAGCAAAAGCAACGTAAATTGGAAATAGTTTTGAATGTCCTGAACTCTTACGTGTCTTCTAAATGGAGAAATTGCTTATTTAAGTCCTCTTTAAATCCTTTAAGTCATGGTCCAACATAGAAAACAAATGACAGAAGTTATCTGAAATCGTTGGCAAAAGTTTTTAATTATTGAAAATTTGTTGCAGAAGTCCTAAATTCCCCCAAAATCTCATAAGGAACAAACAAAAATAAGAACTCAGTACATTCTTAGGTATCTCGACCCGATTTCCAGTTGGTTTGTACATATTCTAATCTCAATTAGGTTAAGAATTCAGGCTTCTTCCTGAAGGCCTCAGATAGCTGTTTCAGTCTCAGTTTTCACTTGTAATTATTTAGTCTGAGTTTAACAATTACAACCTCACCAAGCTAAATGTTTAAGGTTTAAAGGGACAAATCTTTAACCAAATGCTGAGAAAAGGTGTTCTTTTTGTGTCTAAATGATATTAAACACTTGTACATTATTCTAACAATTTTAGGAGGAAATAAAAGTGGAAATGTCAGAAAACATTCTGCATCAGAACCTACATTTCTTGTGTTACATTTTTACAAAATGTTTTAAAATGTCTTGTCTTTAGTTTTTTATTTCAGTTATTATATTTGAAGTTTTCAGTATTGCTATAAATCATATGATAATATCCACAAATTCAAACATATAATAAAAGCACTTAAACTTTTATTGGGTTTCCTAACATTGTTACAAATGGCTATTAGAGAAGAATGAACAAACAGCTTCCCTCAAGTTGACTATTGTGTTAAAAAACACCTTATTACATGGGCTAAAAATAACATATTTTTTTGTAACACTTGGTTACAGAAACATTATGGCTGCCATTACTGCTTTTAAATTCTTCATGTATTATCATTATTATTAGCATTAGAAATAATATTGCTTTTTGTTGGTTGCATCGACAAGCATGAACAATGTATTATATAGCGGTGAAATCTGGATGGAATTATTCATCAATACAGACTCTTTTCTTATAGTTTGCGTACTGAGAAACAAAAAAGTCAATCTTCTGATGAACTGGATGTATCAAAAAAGTCCATCTTCTGATGAACTGGATGTATCAAAAAAGTCCATCTTCTGATGAACTGGATGTATCTCAGACTTAAAGTATTGATCTTAAAGGGTTGGACTTGATTCAGGCCCGACCCCGAATCAAGTCCAACCCTTTAATGTCATGAAGGATGGTTTGTGGCTAAGTGGGAAAGTTTTTCTCTAAGTTTTTTTTTTCTCATGTCAAACAGTCTATTTAGTTTTATTGGATAAAAACATAATAGCACTTATAGAATAGATGATTAGTACTGTTGTGATTTAATCTCTTCTAAAAAGTGACAAAGCCTGGTACAGCAGGTAATTAGACACGAGCCCATCCTGCAGCTGTGTGAGGTACATTTGATGTGCTGTGCTACGTCCTGAAAATGACCTGCATTACATCCACATCTGGGCAGCACCTGACCTGGGCCAGTTACCACTGTGGAGTGAAAAAAACCCCAATGTGAATATATAATTTAAGACCAATGCACTGACTGCGCATGCAGGCAATACTCGGTAAAACCAAACTCAGCACATGGTCTGACTGAGACTAGTAGCAGTAATATCTTGAATAAAATATTTATTCACAGGAGGTTTTATTTGGGGCACAAACCAACAATGCATGAGTATTGGTCAGGTTCGTCTTCATCCCTAAAGGCTCAGCTGGGTCCCGACTGATACACTGCTCATGGTTAGTAAATATAAGGAAGATCAACTGTATTGATAAGCTTATGATTTATTGTGACAATATAATCATTATTTATTTTTCACTTATTCGTGTTAGCTGATTTCCATAGAAATATATAATGATAACTTATTAATGCTGACTTCTATTTGGTGGTTCACTTATAAAATGAAATTCAAGCCCTTAGCAGTAGTATCCCAGGAGAGTTTCCATTTATCCACTTTACATTTTCATTACCTAAGCCCTTTGAATTCCTCTTGTTTGGTTAGAGTTGAGGTTTAAGCTGGACTACTGTTCTATTGATGCAGCACCGTACAATTTAATAACACAGATAATTGTCCGGCCATCTATGAAGAAGCTTACAATTAAAGGTCATGAGCCAGAGGTATTCAATGACACCATTAATCACAAAAAAAATCTGCTACACACGTACCCACACCCACAGTAACGTGAGTGCACTTGATTAAACACGCAAACATATTTAGTAAGGCAAATGCTTCCCCAGTACAGTCATAAATCTTGGTGCAGAGTCTGCAAATTGTCAGTGTGCAGGGAATCTAACATGATAACTTATTTGGTCATCACAGGTGGCACAATTAATCAACTAAGTTATTATCAGAGGCAGTAGATTTGTGGAATTGGGATATCGACATGAACTTATAAGAAATTAGGTTGATTTTTACTCAAAGTCATGCTGTTAGAATCTCATACCAGCATTGTTGCTGCTACTACTGACCGCATTTGGTTAAAAAAATGCTGATAATCAAAAAGCCAAACTCAGATAAAAAACTTTGTAAAAACAAAAGCAAGAACACCTTCATGTCAAATTAAATGAATAATTTGTGAATGTATATGTGTTGTTTTACCTCCTGACTGGCTGATCCTCCTCTTTGCCCACTGGCTCAGGCCTCTCACCAAGTGGTGGGCTGCTACTGAGGGTGCTAAGCAGACTATTGCCATGACAGCGCAGACGGTCACTCTCTCGTGCAATGTCAGATGCATTTTGGATTACCAGCTGGTCGTAGATCTGTAGCCCCATGTCTTCGGCTCCCTGCAAAAAACGCTGCACGCTGCACTGCTCTTTATGCTGCAGCGAGAGCCTGTGACTGACCTGTTGCCTAGCAAGCCAGCCGCGGACAACTGAGACACATCAAGGAGATGGAGAAAATGTTAGATACAAACAGAAAGCATGCAGGAGCCAGTTTTATAATTATTACAGTTTACCTTTCTGACAGGTGATGATCTTTTTGTGAAGCTGGTAGCAGCGGTCATTGAGCTGGTCTGGCTGCCAGTATCTCAGAAACACTTTACTCTTGCCCATCTAGACGAAAAAACACATTGAATATGGCTTATATCCGATTGCTTAAACCTTATTTACTTGTTTTTTCACTGACATCTCAGAAGATTGTGTGAATGTAGACATAGGAGTGTACTGACGCAGTACTAATGGGAGTGGAGTATAGTTGTTTGCAGGATTTAGGGGTCATTCTGGGGGCCAAACCGGGTCACTCTGTACAAGGTGCATGAAACTGATCACTGCTGACTGATGCAACACCATTTAAGTGCAGAATTAGCGTGTATGTTAACCAAGGATGCATTAGAAGTGTCTGCAGGGCATTGTGTGTGTGTGTGTGTGTGTGTGTATGCCTGCCTGTGACCTGTAGGGTCACTTTTTCAGACACAACAGCAGTGCAGCAGACAGGACAGAGAAATGGGTGGAGGGGTTTGTGTTGTTGTGGACGTGTGCGTGTGTGAGCAGAATTATGATGAGGCCGGACAGCTGGAACGGGCAGTCTAGATTCCATGGGATCTTTCAAACAGAGGGTCAGGGATTAAGTCAAATCTTTTGTTGCTAATAGAGGAAAAAACAAAAAAAAAGACGAAGCAGCAAAGCGTGCACACAAACACACCTGCCATCCTTGGAGTTTTGACTGCTGTAGGATGGAACGACATTTCTCCTCAGCTGACAATTTCTTCTTGTCTCCCAAAGTAGGGACCAGGAGGTCTTTATATCTGAGAACAACATCAAAGGAAAAAATATATATGACTGAATTAGACCTGCACAAATACAGATGTTGAGTTGAGAAATTTCTAAGATATGTGGTCTCTTTTGGAAACAATGGATTCAAAGGTCAGTAGGGTTATATGGTGCCAAAGAGCATCTGTTCCCGTTGTCCTTGGTTTAGCTTACTATGAATAATCAACTGGATATTTTTTCAGCATCTTTTTTCTATGCTAAGATGTGAAGGTGAAAGACACAGTAAACCATGTGCTGTTGTATATATCTAAACTGATAGTAAACTGATAGTATACACATGATTTAAAGAGAATAATGGTGGAACTTGATTTGTTGTTAATTTTCCATTTTTCTGACACATTTAAACCATTTTACAGCCTGTTCACAGACAAGAGGTGCATAAATCTGCCGTTGTTTTAGACAGAGATCAACATTCCTTTCTGCAGTGATTTAAAGTTAATCTCCAGGATGTATGTAAAGGATATAAATTATTACTATCCCCATGACAAAAATAATTATACCTCACATTAGTGTTTTATATGAAGAGAATTTCAAGATATACCCTGAATTATAAAGGGTCTGAAACAATGCTTTCATCTGCCACTATATCAAAATGTCTAATTAATATAATTAATCACAACACAGTTTCCCAGTAATCCATGATCTGCATAAATGATTCTTTGCATGTGTTTAATGTGGTCATAGAAGGACTGATATTGGTCTTATTTATTCCTTTCATCAAATAACTTCCTACTGTGATAAAGTTTGTTAAAAAAAAAAACACAGAGATTTTGTTTCCCAAACAATGAGATAATGTCATATGTACAATAAAACAAAAAGGGATCAAATGCTCAGAGGGTGTTTATAATTTCATAATTATATTTTCAAAAATTCATACTGTTTTACAGTTAAGATTGTTTCCTAAATGAGAGCTTTATGAAACAAGAAGACTAAGTACACCATTTGCAATTTTAAATCACAAAATAAAAAAAAAAGTCAATTAGGTGTCCTTGGATCTAGACCTGCACACAAATTACCTTTTTCACAAACATCTGCACTTTTCCTTGTATTTTAAACAAAACCATGCAACAACTATTTACGGAGTGGTTAGGAAAAGGATATATGTTTTTCAAAACCATTTTTAAAAATAAGAAAATTTGTAAATTTTGACCTAATGATATTGTATATCAGAGGGGCAAACTGAAAGCACATAGTGGGCCAAATTTAAAACTTAGACAAATTTGTCAGCCAACCTTGATATTTATCATCTTATTGGGCCTCTATCATCTTATTACAATTCCATGCATTGGAATTGTAATAAGATGTGCTAAAACAAAACATTCATGTAAGCTAAGTCTTCTACAGTTCATCATTTGTATTGCAGAATAACTACTCATTGTCAACAGAGGAAGGGTGGTGTGGGTCCCTGAATGCACCAATCGAGCATTCTGGGATTTGTAGCATTAGTGGTGATTCCAGTGTCTACCAGTAAGACAGCTCTAGTCTACACTTGGAATTATCTTGTGGGCAAAAACTAATGATAAATTTTGCCCGCAGGCCGGAATTTGACACCTGCTGTCTAGATAAACTAGAATGCAACTAATTACCCTAAGAAGTCACTAATTAGTAAATAGAATCCACCTGTGTATAATGCTGTCTTTCTATGAATGCATCTGTTCTGGGAAGACCTCAGAGGTTGATTAGAATGAGCAAAGTATTATGAAAACCAAGGGACAAAGCAGACATTTCAAAGCAGGGTTTTATATATATATATATATATATATATATATATATATATATATATATATATATATATATATATATATATATATATATATATATATATATATATATATATATATAGAGAGAGAGAGAGAGAGAGAGAGAGAGAGAGAGAGAACAAAGAAATAGAAAAGACACCAGAATAATGCGGTCATAGGAGACAAAACAATAGTATTTGGCATATATAGGAAATTGCTTTATACAAAAGAATATGACCAGTGAACAGCAACCAGAACACATCTTCCCAATTGTGAAACACGGTTTTGGCAGCATCATGGTGTGGGGATGGGTTTCCTTAGCAGGATTAGAGAAGCAAGTCCATAGTAAATTTAATGGAAGAAAATAATGAAAAGTCAAGGAAGAAAATCTGTTTAAGAATGCAAATGATTTGAGATTAAAGATGAGGTTCAACTGCCCTCATCAAATAAATGACCATCCCTACAATGGATACCATAGAATGGTTTACATAGAACTCCAGTAACATATATTTAAGTTTGTACTGTAGTTGTAACCTGGAAAAATAATGAAAATGTTAAAAGCAGTGAATGCTTTTGCAAGGCACAGAATGTCAACTAACCCTAACCTTCACCAGAAACATTTAAACTAAAGGACCCGGCTAGGTAAAAATAATGGATGTTATGTTTTAGTTTCAACTACTTTAATTATTTCTTGTTGATAAATGCTCTCAATATTTCCCACGAATGTGGACAAATAATAAGCTGATGATGCCACACATGTGATGAAGTAAACACAAGAAGCAGATGGTAAACATAAACCACTTATGCTGTCAATACTGAGAAAGTGAGTTCACGTAAATAAAGGATGTGTTTGATTTACAGAGGTTGATAGTAATACTGGTCAAACAGACAGCTTAGGTTCCCCCAATAGGCCCATTAAGCACAGAGGAACTCTGTAAACCCATGACCTATCTTATGAGGAAATAAACACATATATGCTCCTGTTTTTAATACAAGCCCCAGGGGAGCCTCAATATGGAGTCTAAGAACTAAAATGACCCAAAGGTATATGATAGGACTTGCACTGTTCCACTCTGGTAGTATCATGTTTATTGTTGAACCAACGACGCAACAATAGGGTGCCTGTACTTAAAACTCTAACATTCTGGTGTTTTATTAGTCCATGAGTCTCATTTAGTCATGGATATTTACACACAATGGTCAAACTGAATTATGTACATTCACCTGCTGGTCATTTATTGTCCATTAATAATGCAGCATTATAGCCCAGTTAGAAAAACAGACATAAAAATGTGAACAACAGCCCTGTAAAATAAAGTTGTGACTTATCTGCATGATCATGGCACTTTCCTATTAACTGTATATTTTGAAAAATAAGCAGATCAGTGGACAGAGAGGGCGAAGATTTATAGTGACAACATACAAACAACCTGAATCTGACAGAAAATAAACCCTGAAACAGGACACATAACATTCTATAAATGACAAATAAAAGGACCAGTAAAATAGATTTTCTCTTAAATCACTCTGGTTACCATGACACTAACGTGATTTGCTCCAGGCAGGCACTGTAACCTAGAGGGGAGGCCAGAGTGGCTCTATTGTATAAGTGGATTTGCTTATACCCAACGGTCCGTTTGTGTACACGATCACATAGCAACAATGTGGATTGCCTGTCAAATAAATAAATCAATGATATATTTACTTATTTTTTTATTTATAAAACAATAAATAAAATCGGACAAATAGATAACATGCTTAAAAAGTACAACCTTATATAGTGTATAGTGTAAAAGCAGAGCTAATGAGCTTTTAGCATGGATCAATTTCTTGGTCCGTGCTATATAATATAGCAATTTAACCAGGATTTGACTCGCATGAAGTTAAATTCAGGTAGCCACAATGTATAGGCATTAAAATGTAATAAAATAAATGCACATATGTATAAAAAATTATAAAAGATAAAAAAGGAAGAATTAAATCTGCATAAATGTCCTTTCATGTACATACAAAAGCTGAGCAGTTTGAGTCATACTGACCAGTGAGAGAATAACCTCTAGCATTTAAACCTTGCATGATTTTGTGCCTCCACCAATAGTTTCTGCTTTGTTATGGAGGAACAAACACCATCAGTATTTCCCGTAGCTTATCGGCACCATGAGAAGATGCAGACAATCACACTAATGCTCTGAAACCGGAAGAGTTTCTTTGTGTCACATGGGTGATATTCCATAATTGTATCATAAAGCTTATCATCCATGCAGGCGACCTTTCTCGCTTCCTGACTTGCTCTGTACACTTGCTTTATACAAAACCAGTAATTAACAGCATGAAAGGTAGAGTTCGCTTTTAAACTGCAGAGAAAATGTCAATTTGTTTCAGGCAACCAATGTATGTTCAATTTGGAGGTGTGTGTGCTTTTCCCGTGGTTGGGATCTTTATTTGATATATTTGTATTTAAGGGGTTTTTAGCACAAATTTGTTTTTTTTGCCTTGTTCATATCAGCTGTTCGATGAGATTATTTAAAAGCAGAGAGAGCAGTAGTGAGACACAATGCTCATAGCAGCTGTGTTGCCATTATAGCAAATTATTTGGAGAGCTGCCAGCCCACGCTGAGTGCAACGGGGCTGTAGCCTTGGCATAAGGCCAGGTTGAATACTCCTTGTTCAAAGTCTCTGATGACAAAGACACAGTGGTGCCTGACAGCCATAGATAAGCTGCAACTATTCATATTAGGCTTCTCTGTGGCTCCTATCAGGCCAACACAACAATAAAATGTCTCATCATGAAAATATTTAACAACCCCAAAGCGACGGTGGAACTGCTACACTCAATTATGAATGTTTTGGGTGCAATGGAGCCCAATAAGACCCCTTCTGATGTATCTTTTGCTGTATGATTTGGTGCTGTGTCTGTGGGTTCATCAAGTAGAACATTGCAAACAGTGGATTTGGCTAATTGGCTGACTATATGTTCCTTGAATCATAGCCTGCTTGTTTTCAAAGTTTTTCATACTTTTGTCTTCAGAGGTCTGACACCACTGCTTTTTTCCCCCTTTTCTTCATTCAGAATTCACAGCCTTGTTAAGTTTAGCTTTATGCTCCGTTTGAACAGGGATTGCATTCTATACAAGTATAAAAAGCAGCTTTTGTATATTTTGAATGTTAATTCCAATTAAATTCTTAAATTCTGATAATTGTTTTCTTCTTGCTTAAAATCTAATATTAGTGATAGAAATAGATCCTCAGATGGTGACATGGTGTGTGAATGCGCATGCGATGAATTTTGGAGCAGAGGAATGGGATCTTTTTTTTGAGGGGGGGTTGGGGGGGGGGGGTCATGTGGCCAGCTTTGTCATCGTTTGTTTCTGGTAAGAATGTTCCTGTTAATCCCTTTATCTCCAAATTGACAGGCAAGGAGACAGAGAAACTGAGGATGTTAGGAGACAGAATGTGAGAGGGAAGCAGAAAAGACAGTGTTAAAGTAAAATCCCGTCACATTAAAATACAGAATACACTAAAACAAGGTGAAAAATAAGAGGATTAGAGAATCTTTTCACATGGTTTAAAATAAAAAAAGATGAAAACAAGACATACAATTAGTTAAAAGAAATCATTTGTGCTATATGGGATCTCTCTTTATGTCTGGTAAAAAACAATATAATAAAAGTTTACAAAAAGCAGCTGATTGGGAGTGACAATACCAAAAAACTCAAACCCAGGACAAAGTGACCTTACAGACAACTGGCTTGTTTAAAGCTCCGGTGTCAATCTGACTTGGGAAAAATGTTTCAGTGACTTTCATCAGCAGCAGTGGTCTCCAATAATAGTCAAAGAGAGACATTCAAAGTCGAAATGCACCTCAAATAAAAGGGTTGCTCTGACTTTTTATTGTGTCTGTTCATATGTGAGCATGTGGTCTGAATTCAAGCGGGGATGAAGCAAAAGCTGTTGCAATTTGTTCTTGTTTGACTATGCTGGAACCTGTCACAATACACATGACTGAGACCATAGTGACCTGACAGAAGTTAAACGAAAGTCTGAAAGACTGAAAACTGGAGCATGGACAAAGAAGAAATAGGAAGGAGCAATCCGCAATTTCTGAGGTTTTTCTAGATGATTTAAAGCTACAAGGAAACAGGAAGAAAAAAAAGTAACTGAGGTTTTGATACTGCGGGGTTCTCTGACTCAACTGCTTAAGAGCTATTGTCCTGAATCTTTTGAATGCAATCCTTCTCCAACACACCTTAATTAAATAAATGGCTACTTAGCAGGCCTCTGCAGGGCTAAATTATTACTAATGAAGGAAATCAGTCAATTTAAATATGTTGGAGAAGTCATGCATCCTACAGTTGCAGGATAGTAGTTGATGGACATAACCCTCCCTGTGATAGATCAACACAAAGTGGTGGAGAACTCATTTGGGAAAATATGTTACATAATGCATGCTTGACTGCTGGTCACATTTAAAGGAAGACTCTGGTCATATTCAGAATTCAAGCTTCTGAAAGTACTTTAAATAATAAATTATTACATACTGTTCAATTAATAATAAGTGTTTTTAATTAAGAGTAATTTCATTTGAATGTGTTTTACTGGAGGCATCCATGTTTGTCAAAGAACACCACCGCCACCTACCGGTTTGTGACATCACGGTGCTGTATCAGCTGTTGAGCAAGTCCCAGTGCTGTATCTGGTGCCTTGCCACAATGCGCTATCATCTGAGTCATCTTGAAAACATTCTTGTTCAAAATGTTGGCTACATGTTACGTGTTTTTTCTCTGGCAAGAAATTCGATGGCAAATCCTCCCGCTTTAAATTGGCAATCCAGCGACCAGGACCACAGTAACATGTCCATGGAGGATCATTATTTGGAAAGGTGAAATAACAAATTTTTTTTTTCCTTTTACCCGATGTATTATAACATCCAACCGCCATAAGCGTGGCCATTGTCAGTTTAATTATAGCTCTCGGGAATTACAATGGTGAAGTCCTCTTGAAATCCTAAATAATCTTAAATAGTTGTTGTTGATTTCTGGGGTGTCTAGTAGTTTCCATTGATTTGCTTGCGAAGCCGGGAGAATGACGTTAGGCTTACCGCACAGTGACATCACTGCCGGAAGATGTCAGGAGTGAGGTGTTACTATATTTGGGCAAAAATGTCTGTTCCCAGACTCAGTGACGACGGAAACAGCTCCAAATGACAAAGAATTAATATGGTTGAGTAGAAAATGATGTAATAACGTAAAATCAAGGGGCCAATGTAAAAAAAAAAACAGTGTTCCCCTTTCAGGGTCTTGTTCAGAGACCCAGCGTGGCAGTCTGTGGGAGTGGAGCTTGAACTCAGACTCTCAGGATTCCAAGCTCTATGCCCTAACTACTAGGCTGCCACTCCCCTCTAGGCCATCACTCCCCTTCCCAGATCTGAATCTTTTGAGACACAAAAAGGTTTTTTTAGTTGTAAAATCAAATTGCACACCATCCTCAAAACACCAACCTGTGGAACCATGGAACAAGCAGCTTCATACTCTGAGGATGTTTGTTCTTTGATACCGAGAATAAAGTTAGTTAAAGAAGATTTAAAAAAAAAAATCATGTATATGAAGGAAAAATAAAGTTGAAATAAGAAAACCAGTTAAGGTTCAGTTGAATGATAACAAGCATAAATATCGAGCCATGTTTCAGGTTAAACTAACTTGAAATGATAGACTAACTGAGTGTGTAGACTTGGATCTAATTAAGAATCAGTAGCAAGACTTGAAAATGAGTTTCATCCTGAACTTCAAACCCTTTGGTTGCACTTGAGCTAATTTGCAAAGAAGGCTGGGCAAAAATATCAGTGATTTGTTTGCGATAAGAGCTTAAACATACCTGCTGTTCTTATTGCTGTAAAGAAGAGCTCTACAAGATGTTAAATTAAGGGGACCAAAATACAAATAAATGACAGCTCAGAATGTTATTTGCAGCCAATTTCGACAGTTTGCACCGTTTGCAATTAATTATAAACATGACATTTTTTGATACCCATTGTGATCCTGTAGCTGGGAGATAACCAAATGTGAAAAAGATCAAAACGCTTGGTCTGGACATTGTGGTCATCCAACACTGACCTGCTGAGGAATGCTGGGAAGGACAGACGGACGGGGTATCCATAGCGAATCATGCGCACCATATCAAGCACTCCGATGTACCGCAGCTGGGAAGAGACGTGGCAGCTGTCAAAGCTGCCTGGCTGACCACTAGAATTGGGGCGAACACACTCTACAAAGTGGGGAGTGCGAGTTTGCAGTTTACTCATAAGCTCTGAAAGTGAGTTCTGAAAAAGGAGAGAAGAGGAAGTTAGTTTTAAAACTTAAACAAAATGAATATCATTAAACAAAGGAATGTTTTCCGATTTCTTTTGATTTATTTCTATTGAACAGCATCACGTTGAGCCAAAGACAACACTGTTTGCTTTTTGGGAGTGCATCTTGCCTCTGAAGGAAGCAAAACAGAAAAACAAAAATGACTCCCAGTTCTTTCCGAGCTTTCATTAAAATCCTCAATTTCAGCATGATGCATCCAAGGTCACAGCGGGACATTCCTCCAGGGGCCACACCTCAAACTGAGATCACTCAGCAATTTCAGATGTACTTCCTTCTCATCTTTAATAGCCACTTTCAGAAACACAAACACAAATGTACACAGACACACTTTGAAACGAATGCCCACAGAACACAGTGGCTGTTGTTCATTGTTCATTCATTCATGTGGAGGGCTTGATGTTTGGCTTGGTACAGCATCATTTTTCAGCCCACTCTCTCCTTCCCTTCCATTCCCGGAGGGGCTTTGTCAACCGCAAGTCCACAACTCTGATTGTGCAACACAGTGGTTTCATTCAGACCAAAGGCACTGCTTCTTTGAGCCACGTCTAAGTTTTCTTGCGTCACCACTGGAGACAGAGCTACTTGCTGCAAACTGAATATTATTGTTGCTTTAAAAAGTTATGAGAACCCTACACTTAAGCTGCATTGTTGCAAAGGTTGTGATGGCTATTTTGACAAATGCATTGACGTGAGACAAGAAAAAAAAAAGGGCAAAAAAAAAAAATCCTGGTTTCGTAACAAACAACAAGCTTGTAATGAGATCAAATCTGATCCAGATGCTTGTAGATAACTGAAGTATATTCAGTAAAGGTCTAAAACCTCATTAATGCATGCATGTGTTCAAGGAAGCTTCAGGCAGCATCTTTCTGCAATCATAAAGAAACAGAAACTGTCCTTACCCTCAGCTGGACAGCCCCTGTGATTGGCCCACAACGTTCGAGTCGCTGGAGGAAAGAACTGGAGCCTTTTTTCTTTAATATCTGTAGATTGTACAAAAAACAAGAAATGTAAAATAATGAATATCTCATGCCCAACAGGCTCTAGAGGTTCAAAGACGCATATCAATACACATTACCTTCCTATTTTAATGTTTGATCTTAGCAGAAAACAGCCAATGAAGCTATTTAAGGCAATTGGACATAGCATAAATAGCTTTAGTAATTAATTCCTTTTCCTTCCATACCTTCTTGTTATTAGGTTTGCTCAGGCCTCTCTTGTAAAAGAGATTTGTAATCTTAATGATACATACTGGGTAAAGGTTATATACACCTATTTGATCACTCCCATAAGCAGATTGGTAGGGCTGATTTATCGCTTTTGAAATATAAAACAACTGTTGCCCCAAAGAAAAAGCACAGTTAAGACACATCATTATCATTAAAAGAACTAAATTGATTTGATAAATAATCATGATGAGATTTCTGAAATCTGAGAACAACTTTTTTGATTGATACTGTTTTATTTACAATCTGAAACACTGAGATTAGCGCAGCAACATTATGTTTTGGTACTGTGTAAAGCTGCTAGGACAGGTCTGAGAGGTGAAGGGGGCCTTATATAACTGTTTGCTCTCATTAGCTAATGAACCACTGAGACAGCAGACAGGATCTCCTGGAAGTTACACAACTTGATAACCTTTTTAATCACATATGTGCACAAGTGCTTTGTGTTTCTAGCGGGAGAAAAATAGGGATAAAATGTTACACTAGTGAAAACAGAGATTTATTTCATATGGGGCTATTGTGTAATAATTTGAGAAGTCAAGATACCAAAACCCAAGTTTTTTTTTCTGTGTGCATTCTTGGAAAGGTTTAAGCTCAAGAATGTCTGTGCACACAAAAACATCAATTTCCCAGAGGTTTATATTTAGACTCTGGATGGGAAGCAGCTTAAATTAGACAATAGCTTTACTAAAAATAGTGTCTGTGTTTCTCCAATGATAGTCAGTTCGCTGATCGCTGGGAAAAAGAAGCTGATGACAGGTGGAAAATACAGTGTTAGTGAGGAAACTATTTAATAAAATCTGCTGACATAAAAGGGACATCCACATTAAAGTATTGTTTGAAGACTAAATCACAGACTGCAGCTCTTCCCTGTGAAGATTACCTTGGTAAGATCTTGGTACCTCCGAGGCTGTTCAGGGATAAGAGTGGCATTGACAGGGGAGGCTGATGTTATCCTCTGAAGCAACAAGGCTGCTTTAGTCCCTCTCAGGCCAATGCGGCCCTGTGCAGCTGGCACCAGAGAACCAGTCTGAGTCAGCTTGGACTGGAAGAGCTGCTGCAGTAACACACTTTCACTGGCTGCCAGGCACAAAGCAACATACATGAAAAATCAGTACAGAAATAGCAATAGTATTGATTGAGAAAGGAAACAGAGAAGAATAGGAACAAGAAAAAGTGAGTAAAAGAACAAGAAATAAAATCAATGAAAGGGTTTGAAAAAAGAAAAGAGGGATGAAAGGGGAAGTACTGTAATTGTTAAGTTTGGGCTGCATGTAAACAATCTGTGATACAACAAGAAGGGTTGGCGCATGTCATTGTACAACACATGGAGCGAACTGTACAACAATGAGCCCTTTCAGAAAGCCAAACATGTGTTTGAATTAGGGTAAAGGGGCTCTTATCTATAAGGGTCTGTTAGAAATATATGGACAGAAAGAAAGAGTTAGATCAGTGTAAGTTTACATTCCGACTATAGAATGATGGAAAAAGCTCAGAGGAAGCTCAAAGTAGCCAATATGATCCCACAGAGTGCCATTCTGGGTCTCTGAGTAGGAGCCTTAGCTCCAGATTGCACTCAGGGCAGCTGGAAGCTGCTCCCTGCTCCCCAATGGAGATGAGGTGAATGCAGAAGACCAATTTTATTGGAAGGCAAAATGATGATGACAAAATAAAGATGATTATCATTATTGGGTTGTTGCATTGCCTTCCACTTTCAGAGATCACCTTTAATCACAACCATCAGATTAAATGGAGTAGGTTCAAACAAGTGATGTAACAAGCTATAGCACTTATGAACATGAAACTGTTTGTTATTCAAAAGAGGAATAGAAAGTTCTGCATGTTAATCGGTGGTAAAAGGAGTTTGATTCTATTTTGGAATAAGCAGCTATCTCTGTATGTCCTATGACTGCTGATCCCACATCTCTGGTGCAGAAATAGCAAAGTCTGCAGCAGCTACTATTACCTCTTTCTTCTTATCAAAATGATACCTTAAGAGTAATGACCATTGGTAAAGGAAAATTAAATAAAGTTTTTGTTCTTTTTTGAAGAACTGTCAACGAACCTTTATTTTTTGCTTTTCCTTTTATTAAACAAAAACTATAATAACTTCTTTAGTAACAGATAATAGACTCTGAACCTTTATGTTCATTAAAAAAGCAAACAAGCATAAAAATGGGATTTGTGTGTCTGAAAAGGTGAACTTTCTGAGTGACATTGCTTTATGAAATTTAAACAATTATTTTTTTTTCATTTCATGCAGAGAAGGTCCTTCCTTTTCTCCTCTTTTCTTTTCTTTTCTACATCTACATAGCGACCATACTGGTGCAGCTGCCTTGGGATGCACAGATCCACTCTTCCAAACTGTCTGGAACATGTACTGTAAAATATTCTTTTAAAGAAAGCTACTTTTTTGCACCTGTTATTTTTTGCTAAAGCCATGTTAGTAGATAAGCATCGACATGCTCGCACGTTTTTGCTTGCAAAAGCAATTTAGGGCTCCTTATTTGGTATCTTTGAAGGCCTATGTGTGCTCTATGGATAACCATGGTTGAGCTGATTGTGAGGACAAAATCTGAGCTGCAGTTCCACCTGGGTTATAGAATTGTTTTTTTTTCTGGAGATGCCTCTACAATGTAAAAAAAAATAAAATAAATAAATAACACAGGACTATATGGACTGTAATAATTTGTGAACAAACTAAACTCCAGAAGGTTTAAGATCAAAGGCTAATACAATGCTGACTAATTTGGAGAGAAGGTAATTTATTTCTGGACAACAGAAGCTTTTCTTTTATTCACCTTGAACAGATTTACTGAGAACTTGCCCTCTAGATCCTGCATTGACCTCTCTGTGATCTCATGATCTACTCTTTATCCTGTTAAAGGTGCCTCACATTGTGTTGCAGCAAATTATTTATAATAATTTATTTAATTTCAAATTGAACAGTGCTACGAAGTAAAAAGAAATATGCATAAAACATTATAATGTATTCCAAATACACACAACACTTTTTGTTATCAAGAGCAGCCCACTTTAAAAAAAAAACATGTTTGTGGCTACATGTTGATGCTAGGCTGCGTTGCATCGACTTGTCAGACAGAGGAATACCAGCCAAGCATGAGTGAAGGACTAGCCTTCAGAAGATTAGCCTCATCATGGAAATTATAGCAATTAGGTTGCTGGACGCAAGACTAAGCTGGCAGTCACACAACGGTTGCCTGTGTCCTGCGAGCCACAACACCCGCTTGTTTAGACAATATACACACAGACGGTGTCTGCTGCATATGGGCTAAAGCACACACATAGAAATATAACAGCGCTAAAACAAGGGGTGGGTTTGTGTTTTGCCATTTTTAACAAGAACGGGTCTTTGTTCACTTAAACTCTGACGCCACATTGTGCTCATATGCTTGTTATGTACTGGGTACTTACTTTTTATTGTAAGCAAGAGATTCTGCGGGAAGAAGTCTTTGTTTTTGGTCAGAGATCCAGTCAGATCATATGAAATCTATGACAGAGAACAAAACATAAAGTGACATTCTTCAATATTATTCTACTTTAAGTACTTTTGCAACATATTTAGACTTTTGTGGCAGAAGTTGCCTTTGTTCGTATTTATCTGAAAGGAAATGGGACAGAAATAGAGAAGTAGAAATAAGTGCTGAGTCTTCATTTTAAGATCCAGTGAGTTAGTCTAAGAGTAAAGCAGTTTATAAATCTAATTAAATGTAAAAAGTGATTTTCACTAGCACATGCATAAAACATACTATATGTAGGGGTTTTCACTTTATCTTAATGAGTGCTATTCTAATATTCATCTCAAATATCTTTAACAAGCAAGACAATGAACTGAACTGTTATATTTAAATTTAGATTCAATTTACATATTTAAGAGCATAAGGTAAGACAATCTGTTTCTTTTGATGTAGATGATAAAGCCTGAAGTCAGCTCTTCTTCAAACTGACAGAGGTAAAATACCAACCTATTCTTTCAGATCTTTAATTGTATAATTGTAACACTATCCAACACTATGGATGTGTATCAGGCATTTCTTAACTTAGATTTAACAGATTCTAAATTAAACTGCTAAACTTGTTTCAGAAGATTCAAGGTATTTCAATATATAATAAAATGTCAAAAAAACAAAACAATGGAAACGCAGAGATCCAGTCCTGTCTATATCAGGATAAAGATTGGTGACTTTCCAGACTGACCTAGAATCATTTCTCATTTCAATTTTTATGCTCACACAGTTTTTTTGTTGTTGATGGGGCCACTATTTAATGATTAAATTTACACCACACAGACCTCATGTTAAAGCAAACAATAGAAAGGCAGGGGATGTCTATTGAAACATCTCTACCATAATGTATTTGAGCAAACATTACAAGAAGGTACATTTTCTTTTTTACTTTAGCAATTTTGATCTTTTAAGGATTTCTCTAAAATGTCTTCTTGAGAATGTCAGTATCAAAGGCAAACTGAATTTCACAAACACTTTTAGTCCATATCAAGGTCATCACCTGACTAGACACTGTATTTGACAACAGAAGAGTTCTGCTTAAACATGATAAATAGATAGTTCATTTGTTTCTTCGAACTTTTTACTGGAAAATATTGTCCTGTTGTTATTTTCAAATAGTTAAATTAGCAAACAAAGTTAAGTTACACAAAGATTGACAGAGTTGTCAGTGGTTATTATGATATGACTGATCTGTGTGGACATTTTTCATTAAAACAGACAGACCTCTCCTGCATAGTGGCTGACAGTGAAGGCTGGTCCCTGGTCTTTGGGTGGGGGGTTCCCATTGCCATCCTTGGTGGTGAGTGAAAGCCCACAAATTGAACTGGAGCCCAGCTGGGTGGACAGCCTCTTGTAAAGGCTCTGCTCTGCAGGCCGTAAGCTTTGACTCTCTTCATCCAGCACACACAGCAGTCCCTGAGGCCTCTGGAGCAGAACAAACAAAAGCTCACATGTTATTTATGTTGGCCATATTCACAAGCACATTTGGTTGTAGTAAGGCATACTTCCTCTTGACATTTCTATTGATCCCTGTAGAAAATACCCCAACCCCTCTACATACATGCACACTAACAAACTAGGATCACTATCTTTGCAGGACCTTTCAACTGACTTCCATTTTTTTTCTACAGCCTAACCGTAACCCTTGTCCTAAACCTAACTATTATATATTCACGCCTAACCTTAAGCCCAACCTACTTTTAATTCACATCTTAGTCCTAGATGTGACCCCTGACCAAAAAACAATGATTTCTGTCGTGGGGGCACAACAAGGAGCAGTCGGTCCCCACAACTTGCTATTTTTCCAGAAAAAAGGCCCCAAGTATATTAAAAACAAAAACACACTATAAAAAATATGATTACATGCTACCCTTTGTTTCAAAACTTATTTTAATTAATACAAAATTAACTAACTGATTTTAGAGCTTGCTGATAATCATTCTTATTGCAGATTTTTTCAAAGATTATAAAGAGATTCAAAAAATATTATCTCTCGTATCAGCAACAGAGAAGATGTAAGCATCCCAGACAACAAAAGCAAATGCAAACCTTTGCAATATTAGCTTCACACACCCAATGATGGTGTCATTTTGAGGTCCCCCATCAAAATGTGTTTCCCGTGTGCTCAGCTCACACAACGCTACCATCTAATGATGCAAAGCTCTTCTCTAAAGATGTAATACTCTATTATAGAATTTATTTTGGTTGAAAATTATCTTACATTTTTCCCTCAGCGGTTAAATCTATTTGAACTGAAATGAAAGCACACAGTAGCAGATATAGATAAACAATTATAATAAAACAATTGCATACATTTTAAGGGCTTTTTCATAAATAATATTATTAACTCACAAATAATATTAACTCTGTTATCTGGTTTGGTAAACAGGTAGGTGACAAATTGCTAAATGACAAGTCCTCTCCTTATTGGTTTTGCCCTAATGAAGAGTTTTATTTTTAATAATTTAATAATTTTTATTTATATTATTTATTTTATTCATTTATTTTAAATTTTTTTTTTATATTGAAATTAAATCTTTTTTTTTTTTTTTTTTGCTCTTAACGAGAAGATCCCAGAGCCTATAAAAAACTTACACCGGTGTCAAAATGACCTTGAGGGTTTTACTTAGTCTTCGAGAGATAATATCAATATCGTAAGAACTCTGGATCAAAATGGAAGAGACCTTTCCAAACCAGATCATTATTTAACCTGAAGAAGGAAGTCCAGCACGGCGCCGTGGTTGCTGCTGGAGAGGGGGATCTCCATGGTGATACCCTCCTGCAGACACTCAGCCTGCTCCTGCTGGAAGAGCACCTCAGAGACATACTGCCTCAGCCGTTGGTTGGTCATGTTCACGCACAGCTGGAATGCACACACAGAACACGGTAAACACGTATCTCAGCACACGCCATGTAGTTCCTCAGAGACAGGCTGCTCAATGTTTTGAAAGCAAACAAAGGAACAAATATAACCTCAAACACATCCTGCTGTGGTAGTCAATGGGCCAGAAGTAAAGTGACTACTCATGTAACAGAGCTAAAGGGAAATTAGCCATTAAAGGGGACACCCTGTGGACTGTGTACACATTATGAAGCCTTCCTGTCAGCTGGTCCACTATGTTAAAGAAGTGAGTGGCTAAAATCTCTCCTATGGAAGCAAACATTTAAATGCCATGTCACTACAGAGGCTTTGGAGATGTATGTAGCTTCAGCTTTTTCACAAGTTGCATACATTAAGCTGAAGTTGGAAGCATCACTTGTGAATACAATGGGAAGACTAAGGCATTTAAATCTAATTTAAATGCTTTTATTTAATCTAATTTAAATTTGCCAGCTTAACAGGCTTACCAAAAATTACAAATGTTTATTTTTTGAATGCAATTGCAACTTTTTTTGTGCGCATCGAAAATCTGAATCTGACACTAATATTTAATGTGTCTAAGCAGCACTAATCACACTTCAAATGTATTGTTGACCACTTTTTAAGACTATTTATGTAAGTCAATCAGGAATCTTGATGCATTTGTTCAGGCATCTAAATTTAAATCTGACTAGAGAAACAAATGTATCACACACTGACATTACATGACTCAATTCAATTCAGTTTAATTATATAGTGCCAATTCACAACACATGTCATCTCAAGGCACTTGAATTACCTGACTCCACTTAAGCAGCACCTTAATACCTCCCAGTTAAAAAGAAAGTTATGTGCACCGCCGTCAACAACCGAGCAGCCACACTGAAAAATAAGATCCATTCTGTATAAGGTTTCAAGAAGCAGAATATGGTCTCTAACGAGTTAATATGTTATCACTTAGTGGACATTAGGATACTGTTTGGCTGAGATACTTTTTTTTTCTGTATAATGTGGTTTATTTTCCTAAATTATGAAGCTGGTTGTACCTACAATAATTACATGGCTATAAACTGACAGATGCAGCAGTCAAGATCAAATGTAATATCTATATGTTGTATGTCCGTAGAAAAATTATACATCTAAGGACTTTGATACGGCTCAATGTATATAAGCTAATTCAGATTCTGCAATTTTTTTTTCTAGATTCAAATCTTTAGTGCCTACATGATTATTCTAAACTTTGTAAATTCTCGCATTTTTTCATTTTTATGTATTGCTCTCACATGATATCTGCAAAAATATTAAATTAAGCTTCTAAAATATCTTTGCATAAATAACGATCCAAAAACTGTGAGCAAGTGTTGCTGCGTTGTTTGAAAAATAGCCTGGTTCAACCAGTCTATTTTGAACAAAAACCAATAAAACAAGTGAAACCTGTTGATTTTTATACTGAGATGCCAGACCACCTTGAGACAGATTTTCATGGAAAAGCCGTGATCTGATGAAATCATGGATTTAAATGGCAATTTGAATGGCCATTATTTGGTTTGTCTATATACAGTACATTTAATACCATCAGAGTCTTAATAGAGTCCATTTATTTCCTATCCCTTAGGGATGAAAAAAGTATTTTTGAATTGAACTTAAATGATTCAAGGCACCTTTAAAACTATATCACTCAATTGACTTACTTCTTCTGTAATAAATGGGGAAAGAAACATTGGACTAATTTTTCCAGGCATCATTAACAGTTCTGTTTTTTGAAGCCTTTTCTTTAGAAATTGTTCAAATAAAAAACACACCATTTCAATGCCTTTTTTAAACCCTGTATCTCTTGTATTTTATTAAAAGGTCATCCTAGGCCAGCATCTTTATCAGGAGCCACTCTGTATACAAGAAACATGTATTAATCTACTGAGATTATATGCTGTATTGTTTTTAAAGTTAGTGAAAACACAGGGATGATAACATGCAACATACTCTCAGTAGTTTAGGAAGGTTGTGGGTATGGTGTAGTTATTTAGCATACAGCATTTTTATTTTAAAGATCAGCTCACTTAAAGAAATAGAATAATTTTTTTCGCCATTAGGCAGATGAATGCCTCAAGTTTCTGCAGACATTCTCATGTTCAAACATGCAAATAATTACAAAGGCCATGTAATAACTGAAAACTGATGTCATAAGTATGTTGTAAATTACATGCAGGAATAGCCTGTGTCTTAATTTTGGGATGTAGCTAATATTAAGCTTGATAAATGTGATGAAATATAGAATGTGCACCATAGACTGCTACTTTTAAATATATATTTTTAAGCCTTTAGTTTAATATTTTAATCTGTTCTGTTAGATGACATATGGCATTTGTTTAATGGAGGAAATAACAATTAAAAATATAAATCTATAAATCTCCAATAGTTTGTATGAAATGTAACCATTTTAATAAATAATAAGGTTTCCAATCACCCTTCTACAGACAGTGATTCTAGAGACAGCACTCCAACATGACAGAATTTGTTATGCTTGATCTGCTTTTGTTTTCAGAAAGAAATAAATAACAACAAAAGCATACTGTCTGTCTTTTCATTCAGATCCTGCTTGAATGAAATGGTTTAATTATGCCCTTGACTTTCACTTAGGAGAAAACACATTGAAAATTGAATGGGTGTCCATTCAAGTCAAATTTCTGATATTATTACCGTTTGGGAACCTCAACAGGAATGATTTTGCTTTCCTTTCAAAATCATGTTATTATTGTGGAGCAACATTGCTAAGACCACAATTTTGGGTTACCCCCACCCTTACTTTGAGAAATAGGAAAATAATTGTTTGTAGCAGAGGATCATTGTTATTGTGTTTTTGTTTTCTTTGGATTTGTCTTTTGTTTGTCTCCCAGAGAGTCTAGCCCATTAATAGCTTAGTCTCAGCAGGTGGTTGATTGAGTTAGCTCATTAAAAAAAATGCTGAGTAGATAAAACAGAGCCTGACAAACAGTTCTAATTAACAAGCTCTAATAACTTTGATCATGCCACGCCTATGTAGTATACTTGTGAGTTCATGCTTGGGGCATATGAAGGTCCAAACATGTCAGAGCTTGCATATCACTTATGTGACATCTCTAAAATAAGAGAGCCTTGTGTTTGTTGATCTAAAATGTGCTTCACATCTTCTATTCTGCAAATGGTTCATAATGAGTGGTGATATCAAAAGGGCAACTCTGAATGAAGAATTTAAATAGCTTTGGATAATTTTTCTGATTGTATTGCTTTTTTTTATCTCTTGGCACTTACAATTACTTGAAACAAAAGAGTCACACAAACCCCCTCACTTACGCTTGGTTTGGAGAGTATCCAGATGAGTAAAGCCACTTATCCTTCTGCCACGCCAACAGAAACAACACTGTCACACAAGGCTTTAAAAGCTAAGAGAAACACTCACTGGAGTAAAAGCTGGAAGAAACTGCTGCTTCATATGGGGTAGTTACCTCATACAAAACAGTAACCAGTCTCTTAAACATTATAAACGACAGTTGTAAAAGGCCAAACGTGGAAATATGTACACAATGCACAATGGTTTAACTGATGTCCTACAACACTTCAACAATTTGAGCTCCTGCAGACTATTCATGCATTCATGTTGCACCCACATCAATCCAGCTATCATTTATAGACTCCCCTGATCTTTCTGCCACCAAAACGAGAAAAAAAAGACCTGTCAAAGGAAATTTGGAACAAGACAGTAGATCTCAGTAGATGAAGTGATTACTGGGGGAAAGGAAAAATAATCAAAATGACCAATAGCCATCCATTGTCTGGAGCTGCATGCCAGATCTTGGCCCAGGACATGAGGATGATGATAAGATGAAGATGATAAGAAAGGTGAAAGATCAGCAAGCAGAGGTTGTTAATGAAATAAAAGTAGATGGGCCATCTTAAACCAGACAACACAAAATGCTTTATTGGGCAGAAACCTTGCATCTCAATGTTATGGTACAGACATGTTAAGCTGCGCATACACTGTACAATATCATTGCACCCAGCTACAGCTCTGTATACTACAGTACACAACACTGTATATTATATGATGCAGGAGGCAGTTAACCTATGGTGTACTGTTTCAGCCTGAAACTCGGCCCGATCCAAAAAATTCTTGCACTACTGGAAAATCGGCCCAAAAAGGACAAAAAGTTGTACAGGCTTTAGATTTCATAGCATAAAACCAAATGATTTAGATAAAGCTTAGGAGAAGGCACTGCTGTAAAACACTTCCAAAACCATCTATTCTAGGTTCTAAATCAGGGATCTCCAACCAGTTGACCTATGGTGTACTGTTACTGGACCATCCATCCATTTTCTAACATGCGTAATCCCAAATGTGGTTGCCAGGGGTGCTGGTGCCCATCTCTTTCATCTGCCAATGGGTGAGAGGTGGGGTACATCGAGAGGTCGCCAGTCCATTGCAGGGCAACATAGAGACAAACAGGACAAACAAACCACTGCCGCACACACTCACACCTGAGGAGAATTTAGAGAAGCCAATTAAGCTAACTGTCATGTTTTTGGACTGGGAGGAAGCCAGAGTACCCGGAGAGAACCCATGCATGTTCAGGGAAAACATGCAAACTCCATGCAGAAAGAGAATCAAACCCAGAACCTTCTTGCTGCAAGGCAGCAGTACTACCCACTGTGCCAATGAGCACATTACTGGACCAATGAACGATCAATTCATATGTGGAGTAGTTTCTACAGTGTTGATGAGTGGAGCATGAAACCAGTTTATTTGAAAAAAAAAAAAAAAGGGTGCAGGAGTACAAGCGGTCAAGCTAACCAGATGGTTTTTACTTTGAAGCGTCTACATCATTTCACTCTTTTTTCCTGTAAGTCAAAATTAGAAAGAAATGACCATACATTTTAGAGACAGTACTTTTGATTTTAAAAGAGAAAACTCAGGAAACCAATAAGGGATCATATATTTATTTCATCTTACTTTTAGATGTAACAGAAATGAGCTACAAAAATTAGATCAGTGCATCTCTGAAAGAAATAGAAGAAACGTTTCCTGCTTTGTGTTTTACTGTTGCTTACACTAAATTGTTGTGTTTTCTATAAATGTTGGGAGTTTTTTCTGCTTATTCTACTTAAAATCAATTTTGGGTTTGGACAGAAAACATAAAACAAACCTATACTTATGATTGCTTTAGGCTCACCATCTTTAACCTTTGTATTCTTGGCAATGTTTTCTGTTATGTTTAGCGATGTTCGCTGAAATGAGGTGTTTTCGTATGAAGTGATCATGTTTTTACTTTAACTGTTATGTGTTGGTTAGAGAAAATATTTTTCTACAAACATGATTCCTATCTCCTAACAAATGCTGGGGAAGAGACACAGATGGGTTTGAGACTGTAGCAATCGTTTCAGTTATCAGTTCATCTGAGGACAGCTGAAAATCACGCCACAGTCAGCCACAGACCTCAGCTCATTCATTACAATTACACACAAAAATGTCCAGGCTTAAACAGATAATAGCTCCAAATATTTCAACAATTTGAATATTCTTCAGTTCAGCAAAGCGAGGAGTTGTACAAACTTTCCTTTTTGAATTGCATAAATCTAAAAGGAAAATCCCATCTCACCTGTTCAAATTCATTTCTTTGAAATTCTTCAAACCCAAACATGTCCAAGATACCAATTTCCATAGCGGGATCACTGGAAGGGATAAAACAATAAAAAAATACAAAATAAAACATACAATTAATGAACAACACAGCTTATTATCTATCAGTTTGAGTTTGTTGTGATGCTCCACCAGCAGTCAGACATGTTAGGGTGTATATGCAGCAAAATCAGAAAGAATGGGAGAGCCGTGAATGTGTGGTTGACAAATTTATTATATGTAGTGGTATGTGTGTAAACAAGGCAAGGCACAAACACATTCCAGAAGATGCAGTGCGGGTTTGGTGTCGGGGTGTGATAAGGCTCCACAACAAGCAAACTAAGGATCCCATGACCTCCACCTGGGAGTGTTTGTGTCTTGTTTTTTTTTTTGTGTGTTTTGTAAGACCTCCAAGCTGTCTGGACCTTGGGTGTGTCTGCTTGTTACATTTTCACTTGCATTTCTAATCATTGACGTAATGTATGCAAAGTATTAAAAACTTTCACCCTGCACTGATGCAGCATTTCAATAGTGTTAGACACATGACGATTGGTTTTCACTGGAAGTTTTGAATTTTTTTGTTATGATAATTTAAACATACATAGCACTTACCCAATGATATCTTCCTGCCCTTGAAGGTAGTCGTTGATGCTGTTGACTAAATAGTAGAAGAGGCGTCCGTAGATGGATTTAGCAAGCTGGTCCCTGTACTGCTCTGCCATCTCTACTGTGTGGCATCTATTAATCACATCCCCTGAAAAAACAAGGCCATAGATTATATCTGGCCCTTTCAGAATTAACATTTCTGTTACGTGTTTTATTCAACTTCTATTAAATAAGGGCAGCTGAAACTGTCACATTCATTTCTTTATGTAAAGCCACTCCTGGACCAGAGAAATGTGAAAAGCTACTTCACTGGGAACAAAAAGGACTTGGCTTTCCCCCCAAGGACCAAAGAAAATGTTCAATTTGCTTTGGGAATCAAGATCCAAGAATCCAAGCAACTTAAGATAATGTGACGTTTCCACTTAAGGTATTATATAATCTACTGGTGTTGGTCCCTGTGTTTTATTAAGCTTAATGTCAGTGCAGCTATCTTTCATGGAATTTGAGAGAATGTCATGCCTCCTGAAAAGAAGAACCAGAGGATATCGAACTCCACCACTGTGACCAATGCGGTTATATATGCAATAGAAACCCCTGCAAATACTGAGTGCATGTTACTGTAAAGTTCAAGGAAGTAACTTTAAGAGGGCATACGTACATTTCTGTACAAAAGTATTCCTTATTGTGCTTTTGAAATACTGACATTTTCTAAGAATTCTTAAATTCGTGGTTTCGCTTCAAAAACATATTTTCCGGAAGATTCCTGTTAAATACATGCTCATTCATTGGCTCAACTTTCCATTATATAATATATTAATTATAGGGCTGAAATAATTAATTGGATTAATCTTGATTAATCGATTACTGAAATAATCATCAACTAATTTAGTAATCGATTACTTGTTAAGTGGAAAATATTGACTCTAAAATGTGTCTGTAGCTGACAGAGTGACCCACTTGGAGCAGCATCTATACCAAAATTGTAAAAAAAAAAATATATATATATGCATTTTGCATTCAAGGTTAAAAAGTCTGTAAATATCCTCTATCCAGAACTCCTCATGTGGAAAGGTTTGACTTTCACCTGGTTTAATTTGATAAAAAGTCTTTTTTTAAGGAACCGTTGGCCATCTGATTTTATTTCAACAGATGAGTTCATTTGTAAAATAATCATTAGTTGCAGCCCTACTAATTACTTACAGAATTGTGGGGAGAAAACATTAACAATTAGCCATATTATGAAACAAGGGCTTTTTATTTAACTTCTAACTAATTTTCTTTTTTTTTATTACCAATTTAAACTAAAATAAACTTGTTTTACTTTTGTATTTAAGTCTCTACTCTAGTCTATTTTCAAAAATAACTTTTAAAATTCAATTCTCCCATGGGCAGATTGTTTGCTGCCTGTATGCATAAAATTAAAATAAAACAAATATTTTATTTTGCTTTACATTAACAAGAACCAAAGTAAATCAGATTAAGTATTGCTTTATAAACCCCCTAAAGAGAGCGACCTTTTATATACTTAAATCACATAAATAAGGTGTCTTTGTAAAAAACAATGAATGTTATGCAAAATGCCAAATGATGCAGGATAAACTTTATCAATTTTAACTGAACACTACAATTTATGAATTGGATAGGATGATCTAAGCACTTCTCTCTGAGGTAAAATGTAAGCTGATTCTCTGGAAGAGTGAGCTTACTTGGCAACAAAAATAATCATTTAAGCCACAACCTTGTTTTTCAAGGGATAATGGTTTGACAAAAAAATAAATATTTGTGCTGTTAATTTCTGCAATGTTTAAATCATAAAAAACATGTCACATTATATTGTGATCTGTGGGGATTTGGATTTATGTTTTCTTTATAATCTATATTCTTCTCCCTTGTTCACTATGTATTCTATCAGTTATTTTCCCCAATTTCCTCATTTCAGCTTCAGTTGTTCGCCATTTTATTTCTCCAGCCTAAATGTCTCTCAGTTAGTCAGCTTTTGGTTACGCCATTTTGTTTTCTTTTCCTCTTTTGGTAATGTATTATTTCTGATTCACCTCTTGAATTTATATTTTATTTTTGAGTTGGTTGGTTTACATTTATTAGCCTGACTCTTGCCTCCTTCCTCCATTTGGGTTCTGCTTTGAAACATTTCATGCGTATTGTATATTAAACTTCAGTAATCATGCAATATGTTTATACGTCATGTTTGTATGCTGTGAGTGTGATATCGAATGCCTTCCTTGTGCACACAATCTGAGTCAATATATCAGTTTCCTGTGTCATGGATGTTGTTTTAACCCTAACAACCTATCTACACCTTTTTGCAACAATCAAATAGTTCTTTAAATAGGCTTTTTTCATTTTAGGAAAAACGGAAATCTCTTTAGGTGCATGGCTTGCAAAACTGTAGGACAGTCCATGCACGCTGATTTTTATATATATATATATATATACCGGTATATATATATACAGGTGCTGGTCATAAAATTAGAATATCATGAAAAAGTAGATTGATTTCAGTAATTCCATTTAAAAAGTGAAACTTGTATATTATATTCATACATTACATACAAACTCATATATTTCAGATGTTTATTTTGTTTAATTTTGATGATTACAAATGACAACAAATGAAAATCTCAAATTCATCATATCAGAAATTTAGAATATTGTGAAAAGGTTCAAAATTGATGGCCCCTGGTGCCACACTCTAATCAGCTAATTAACTCAAACCACCTGCAAAAGCCTTTAAATGGTCTTTCAGTCTAGTTCTATAGGCTACACAATCATGGGGAAGACTGCTGACTTGACAGTTGTCCAAAAGACGCCATCGACACCTTGCACAAGGAGGGCAAGACACAAAAGGTCATCGCTAAAGAGGCTGGCTGTTCACAGAGCTCAGTGTCCAAGCACATTAATAGAGAGGCGAAGGGAAGGAAAAGATGTGGTCGAAAAAAGTGTACAAGCAAGAGAGATAACCGCACCCTGGAGAGGATTGAGAAACAAAACCCATTCAAAAATGTGGGGGAGATTCACAAAGAGTGGACTGCAGCTGGAGTGAGTGCTTCAAGAACCACCACACACAGACGTATGAAAGACATGGGTTTCTGCTGTCGCATTCCTTGTGTCAAGCCACTCTTGAACCACAGACAGCGTCAGAAGCGTCTTGCCTGGGCTAAAGAGAAACAGGACTGGACTGCTGGTGAGTGGTCCAAAGTCATGTTCTCTGATGAAAGTAAATTTTGCATTTCCTTTGGAAATCAAGGTCCCAGAGTCTGGAGGAAAAGAAGAGAGGCACTTCATCCACGTTGCTTGAAGTCCAGTGTAAAGTTTCCACAGTCAGTGATGGTTTGGGGTGCCATGTCATCTGCTGGTGTTGGTCCATTGTGTTTTCTGAGGTCCAGGGTCAACGCAACCACATACCAGGAAGTTTTAGAGCACTTCATGCTTCCTGCAGCTGACCAACTTTTTGGAGATGCAGATTTCATTTTCCAACAGGACTTGGCACCTGCACACAGTGCCAAAGCTACCAGTACCTGGTTGAAGGACCATGGTATCCCTGTTCTTAATTGGCCAGCAAACTCTCCTGACCTTAACCCCATAGAAAATCTATGGGGTATTGTGAAGAAGAAGATGCAATACACCAGACCCAACAATTCAGAAGAGCTAAAAGCCACTATTAGAGCAACCTGGGCTATCATAACACCTGAGCAGTGCCACAGACTGATCGACTCCATGCCACGCCGCATTGCTGCAGTAATACAGGCCAAAGGAGGCCCAACTAAATACTGAGTGCTGTACATGCTCATACTTTTCATGTTCATACTTTTCAGTTGGCCAACATTTCTATAAATCCTTTGTTTTTATTGGTCTTCAGTAATATTCTAATTTTCTGATATGATGAATTTGAGATTTTCATTTGTTGTCATTTGTAATCATCAAAATTAAACAAAATAAACATCTGAAATATATGAGTTTGTATGTAATGTATGAATATAATATACAAGTTTCACTTTTTAAATGGAATTACTGAAATCAATCTACTTTTTCATGATATTCTAATTTTATGACCAGCACCTGTATATATATATATATATATATATATATATATATATATATATATATATATATATATATATATATATATTATATATATAAGCAAGTTAAAGTTGATCAAAATTGATTCTGTGCCTGATCAGCACATTACACTCAGCAGAGCTGTCGACCACCCCAAGATGGCGCCACCAAATCACGTCAGCGCCCATAGGCGTAAGCAATCGATGTGTGGTCTGCTCATATTATGTCTATGTAACAAAGTGCCTACACAGTCTGCCATCTTAAAAGTACAGATGCTAGCGAGGGATAAAATACTTTTAAAGTGCGAAAAAACATCATGTTTCCCATTGCTGGTAGTTAAGTATGATTGAGAGGCAGCAGTGAAGATTATTTTGGGATGATAACCCAACAAATGAAAGTTTGCACAAATGCAGTCCCATCAATATGCAAGCAGCACCACAAGAAAGCAAAAACAAAAGAAATTAAAAGATTATAAAATGGAGAAATAAAAAAAAACTAAGATAAACATAGAGCAAGCCTTCTCCAGGTGGAAGGAGCTAATGAAGGAGAAAGTTTTTAAAAGGGACACTGAAGTCGCCGTGCTTCTCCTTGATGTGTAAGTGAACCGTACTGCCTAAATTAGTGTAAAGCTAACTTTTACTATTTGGTTTAATTAGACAGTGTCGCTCCTTACTATAGACAACATAACTGCAAACATAAACTAGAATTGTGGGTTTACATGAATTTAGTAGCTTTCAAAGCTGCTGTGAACGCTAGCTTTTGTTACTGTAAATGCCAGCTGATAGACTTCAACTCACTTCAGATGTCATGGTTACATCTGCATTAATTTTTTTGGCAGTGACGCAGAATAGTGTTTGTTTGAATGAAATACACTCCATTTCACTTCAAGATAGCAGTCCACACCTTTAAAGTAATACAGTTTATTGGTGGGAATTAGAAAACTATATATGAAACAGTGGTGTTTGTATTTTATTATAACAAAAATGCCATTAGAAAAATAACAATACCAGTCTCAATAATCAGTAGAAAAAAAGTCGGCAATTGGCATTACAGCAACTAAACACTTATAACTTCTGATGATTAGAAGGGCTCTCTGTCACCACCCTAATCATCTACAGATTCTCTATCAGATCCAGTCAGTGCTTTGCTACAAAATACCCATATTACTGACATTCAGGAGAAAGTTGTTGGTAAGCTTAATACATTGAATGTAAATATGCCAGGGAGTACAATATGACATTTTTTAGCTTTACTTACTTAAGCAAGAGTACTTAGGTTGTCTGAAGAGAACAGGAAGGGCTCAGACTACTGTTGACCAATAAGATCAGCTCTAGCATTTATGGTTTCTTTAGTATCAGACATATTTCCTTCCATCAAGATTAAAACCTGAATAAAATATTGATGTAGGATGTTCGTTCAATACCTTTGATGTACTGAACGTCAGAGGTGAGGGCAGTGCTTAGATCATTAGCTGACACCTGCAACAATCCAGCAACTAGGAAGAGGACAAGAGAGAGAAAAAACAACAGGATGAAAACCTGAAAATAACAGCATTAAAAATAATGGAGAATCTAAAAGGTAAATCTGATAACCTTCCAGACCCCAGTGTGCTGTGATGATGACGCTCTGCTATAGTAACAGGACAACAATTAAGCCGTGCTACAGCTGATTCCTGCTCAACTAATGGGAAGAGCTGGCAGCGATTACTCATCATTCTACTTGTGAGCATAATCCATAAACAAGTGGCACAAACAGGTGACGGCAAACCCAGAAACACTTTCCTGACATCACCAGCCATGACTTCACATCTCCCTGACAACGGCTTACTCTTTCCCGTCTGGACGATGACGCTGCTGTTTACCACTTTGTAAAGGGTCGGGGGTCGCACGAGCACAGGGAATAAGTGAGTAATGGCAAAATAAGGCTGCGAAAATAAGAGGCTCTAACAGGGGGAGTATACCTCACACACTTTTAGACAGCTGCTGGTTGCCAAACATGTGACTGTCTAGCCCTTAGCTATGTCTAAACTAGATATTCAAGGGGAAAAGTGAGAGTGGAGCAAGATAAGGAAGCATGAGGGGTTCCACTCTCACAGTGAGTATGGTTTTAGAGGAAATTAGGTAATGAGGGTCCAGCTGTGACAGAAGTACAGACCTCTATCCAGCAGCTGCAAGTCAGAAGGGAAGGCTGAATTGGTATCTTTCAGGGCAGTGAAACGCAGGTCGCCAATATGGAGAACAGCGGAGAGCAGCGTGAATACCGAGTCAACCTCCTAGATAAAAAAAAAGAAAAGAAAAGGGGGGGGGAGTTAAGGAATAATGGAGTACAAAGAAAGTAATATTTGAAAGGTTCACATTTCAGATTTTGTGTGCAATGAATCAGATTCATACATTAAAAAAAAACATATTTTGAACATTTCAAATTTCCCTTGTTTATACTTTGTGCTGCAGAAATTCAATGGAATAAACTGCTATCCTAAAGCTTTAGAAATAGTTTCATAAAGGTTTCCAGATTAAAGAAGAGTTTTTTTCAACCTTGGTATTTATTTATTAATCTGTTGCATTTTGAGATATCTAACCCTATTTTTAAAATATTTCACAGGTCAGGTAGGAATTATACAGGGGCTTGCTTTATATTTAGATGGGTTAAAGTGGAAAGATTTCAATTATTATTTGAAAATTGCATTTTTCTAGGAATAGACATGTTTATTTGATATCTAAATTTTCTTCAATTTTCTGAAAAAAATTGTTTATTTTGCTTTAAACAAAAACAAAAGGAGAACAAAAGCTTTTGCAATTGTCTGGATCTATAGTGTCTAATTTTCTCTCTTCTTGCCCTTCTCCCCTGTCACACTCTCCCTCATTCATCGCCCTCTAACAGAGGGAAAACCCCACTTTATGCTTTCCTGTGAATATCTGAGAGGGGGATCGCTGGATAGGAAGGTGTGTGCAAGTAAGCATGTGTGAATACATTTGTGTGTGTGCACTCTCTCAGAACAGGATATTGGAGCTGATACTTCGGAGATAAACACAAGCATTAGTCTCTGTCTGACACTCGATACACGGAGCGACTCCCCCCCCCTCCCATGAGCACAGAGGACAAGAAGAAGAGAGAGGGTGAGCAAAGCAGTGATATAAGAAGCGTTAATGACGATTGACCCTTGGGGCCAGACTGGGAGTCGTGTCTTGATGAGAGTTTAGACAGAGACCAATGGGTGGTCCATCACTTCTGCTAACACTCTCCCACTCCTTTCTGTCTACCTTACTGTCTTTTTCAGTTGATTAGTACTGTTGTATGATAACACCAATATCCATTGCTGTATTCATTTGTCCCGTATGCCATACCAGCATGCATTGGTTGTTGCTGGAATAAAAGATGAGACAACGGAAAATCCACTGCTGATAAATTGGTATCTAAGAATACAACCTGATAATACAGGCTCACTATATTAAGTTCTTTTTAAGATAATTTTAGATCTTTGCATAGATACTTGATTTTTTATGAGGTGCCTTGAAACATTTGAAGTTTCCAGTGGCTTCTCATCTGTCAGCTGCCCGGTTTTGGGAGGACAATCCTTGTTATAACATTTCCTGAATTTCTATACAGTATTTCATTTATATCAGACATTTTCTGGTCTTACCATCTAAAATGTTTGATTGGACATAAAGACAAACAGTCAATTTCAACCTAATTGCCTGCTGGACTAACAAACATAAAAACCTAAGATGCATCCAGGAAAAAAATGCTGCAATAGTTTATTTCAGTAATTATATTTGACAGAATATATATATTGAATTGAATAGATTTGTTGCATACAAATATTCTATTTCAGCAAAAAAAGTTTCTGGCCAGATAAGAAATGTATCTCTTATATAGCAGTTTACCAGTTTTACTATAGAAAATGAAGTACTCAAAAATAATGATCTTTTCAATGATATTCTGCTTTAAGGAGATGCACCAATTAGGCACTTCTGACTCAAACATGTTTGATATGTAGACTTTTTTTTTGTTCGTCTAGAGTATTTGTTCAAAGAAAACCTGCAGATCTCTGACCTGTTTATTAAAGCCCAGGGCACGCAGGGCTTGTTTGACTCCAACCAGAAGCTCCCTGCTCTGAGCAGAAGCTGGGGCTACAGGAGGGCTTACACCCAGAGTTCCTGCATTAAGATATCTGTTGATAAAGACGTGGAAGGAAGCAACATTAAGAAATGTTTCAACATGCACAAATACATCTGAGAAAACGTTAGTCAGTATTTTAAGTTTCCCAGCTTAATCCATTATCTTAAATATCAACAGTTCTTTTTTTTTTTTTTTTTTTTATAAAACCATTTTAACCTTTTATCTTTTTTCATTAAATGTGTTATTATTTATTCAAGACAACATACCTATGAGCCAGGACATTATTAAGATAAAGTTCACTCTTCTCCTCAGGGGAGAGGCCTTCAGCCATCAGATGGAAGATTTGAAAGTTCTGATGCTGGGGCGGCAGGTGAACCACACGGGTCTTCTCCAGCATGTAGGTGGACACATGGGCTTGGACATGACACATGAGGTTTATGTCAATACATATAACTATGATAATTATTAATGAAACTGTATATTTGTAGTTTTTGTTTAATGGCAGGTATTAAAACAGTTAAAGCTAAAAATAAACAACAGGGGAAAATATAGGAATGGAGCAATGAAAACAAAAATAGCTTAAAATTTTTTTTTAGCTGTTACTGCATCCTAGTGGTGATTCTCAACCATTACATGTTTCAGAGGGAAACTAATTTAGTGGTTTTCAAAAATGCAAACTTTTCCACATTCTCTATGTTGGAACATTCAATTTGAACAACGTTTTATGCCAGAGAGAAATGCGCAACAGTAAATTCTTTGAAGTGGAATAAAATTAAACTTTCTCTTGGTGTAAACATCAATAGGTCAGGTATTTGAATAGGACTGAACCTCTGCTCTAGATTCAAGTCCATTACAAAGGCCCAAAAAATTTAATCTAAATAAGTCATTTTTGATTAAAAGAAGTCAATTTTTTCTTAAACTGAGGAGGGAAGTGAGACACTTTGCAAATGGAACAAGACTATTTACAATCACAATAAGAAAAAAAACTATGCATTGTCTTATTTCAAGTGCGTATTATCTAATTGTCTTATTTTAGGAGCAAAAAGTCTAAATCCATAGGCAACTCATCTTATTAACCTGCTCAAATCAAGGTTAAATACTTTTAATGCAAGATTTTTTTACTTATTTTGCAGCGCATTCTGTAACAGTGTATAACGGGACCATCTTTAAATTCTCATTCAAAAACTATAAGTTGAAATGTTGCAAATGTATCACTCCTTCATAGAATACAATTTTTTCAGCATAGCTTCCTCTCTAATGAGTGCTCTTCTTACAGAGTATGTTGGTTGAGGTAAACTCTCATGTTGTAATTGTTTTATAACTGTGCCCTGCTGTATATATGTTTAGATAATGGGTTAAAAGGTGCTCAGGAATCAGTAAAATATATTTTCTTTAGATTTGTGAATATTTTTCAATCAGGACTTTTGAGCTGTATTCCTTGGTTTGAATGACTTATATGTATTCTATGGCTGTCACAGAACAACTGCATGGTGATTGAAATAACACAGGTGACTGATAAGGAGATTTTGAAGATTATTTTTGACTGGGAAGTAAAGAGAGTAATGTAATATTTTCCTTCCATTTTACAGTCATGCATCGCTTTTTGAGGACACTTCATAGAAAACTGCATTGAGCAATAAAAGATAAATATAAAAATATTATTATTACTATCATTAATATCATGTTTTCTTTAATGATTTACAAAATCTAAGGAGAAAAAAGTAAAAAAATTTAAATGAAATGAAATCATGCCTAAGAATGATAGAGCCAACTCTCATAAGGTTTTTTTTTCTTTATATGAATAAAAAAAGGCATTTAATTTATAGTCAGTCCATTCAGACTTAGTACTATGCACCCAGAGGTGTATGTTGCATTACCTCTCAGTATTGTCCTTTGTTTCTCACAGAACTGGATTGTTAGCAGCTTAATAAAACGGCTTGAGTTAGTGTTCCTTGGAGTCTTTGCGTGGCCAAAGGCTTCCAGAATACAGTTTACCTGTACATGTCAACAAAGAGCTCAAATTAGGCTTTGCATTAACTTTCATTCAACACTAAGCTTAACACACTTAATGAAAAACAATGACAAAGAATCTGTAAAAATTTGTAGCATGATGAAAGTGTGGGTGCAATTGTTTATGTGGCCCATTTAGGACGGTTTTCTATATATTTACTAACCTTCTGAGGAACAATAGGCCTTATGGGAACCAATAGGTTGTCCTATGCAGACCCTCTTTTATAACCTTATAGAGTAAGTTTATAGAGGAATGGTGTGAATTAACCTTAGTTTAAGTTTAGGATTAGAAATATACTGATAATAACTAGCACTAGGCTAAATATCAGTATAAATATATGAAGGAAAAAAAAAAACTAAGCAATGTCTCAATTCCTATTTCCAACCACTAGGTGCCAGTAAAAGTCTATTCCGTGAGACTTATTCTGCATCACAGAATGAAAATGTTGACCCAGATATTTCCTACATAACAATCAGACAAGAGCACTCTGGGGTTGCACTGATTTTTTATTTCATAAGAGCAAAAGCAGACTGGTGAGTCGTCCATTATGAGTATGAACCTCAACTACTAGAAACAGAAAAAAGGAATAATACAGTATGCTAAGTGGTGACTTTTAGGATGAATTTTCAGGAGTTTTAAACAATAGTACTGATGTTGAACTCAGAGTGTGGTCTGCTTTTCCTTCAATCAACCTCAGGAAATAAGTAACGCATAAGTAAGTGTATTGACATCAAAGAGTAAAAAAAGCTTTAACTGTGTATATCAAAGGCATACAGAAAATATTGTATATCACTACGTATATACAAACATATATATATATATATATATATATATATATATATATATATATATATATATATATATATATATATATATATATATATATATAAATTCATTACAGTTTCATTACAGTGTGTGTTATGGAATCATGTAGCCTACAGTGAACCGCTATTTGACTATCTTCTCAATAATTTTGCAGTCAGCCACATTCCACTTACGTGTTTCATTCTGGGCTCTAACCCAAAGCCTTTGGGGTTGGAGCGAGCTATCAAGTGTCTCACAATGTGCTTACATGCCTCAGTTTTCCCAGAACCACTCTCACCACTGAAATGACAGAAAGAGACAATCTTCTGTCAAAGTCTTTCATGCAGTGCTGTGCAAAGATTTTCATTGCTTTTTTTAAAATACACATTGTACAGATTAACAACAATTGTAAATAATTGCTGTTTAGATTATATCTGATAGATCAGCCAAAATAATTTCCCCATTGTAAAAGTGAGGCAAAATGAGTTATGTTTTTTAAAAAACTCTTTTCGAATTTAATGCAATCTCTTTCCTTTAGAATCCACCACTGACTAATTTAAAGTCGGTCTAAATCAAGCAGTTTTTTTTAAGGCCTCAGAGGTTTGTTAAATAACATCACTGTAAAAACAGCATCATGTAGAAACAATCATATAGAGGCACAGACTAGAGATGTGAAGTTAAAACACCTTTAGTATAGCATCCCAAGCTTTTAACATCTTACAATGTTTCGTTCAGTCAACCAAAATGGGAAAAGGATTCCCACATCTACAAACTACAAACCTGATCTGCTAGGTTAGACAAGTAAACCATATCAATATATAAGTAAAACACAATGTTTTATGAAAAAAACAACAACAAACAAAACACATCTCACACTTTAAAACAACATCCACAGCATGATGGTGGCTGCATCATGCTGCACGGATGTCTCTTAATCTGGGAATTAAACTTCTCAGACCTGATGGGAATTTGATTGAAGATAAATTAATGGTTCTGAAAAAAACAAAACCAGGGACAGATCTAGGGGGGGTCACTCCCCCTGGGATTTAATTTTATACCCCTGAAAGAAGCAGTTATTTACTAAGCCTGAAGGTAGCAGCAGTGATACCATGGTGTGGAATATTATCAAAAAAAGCTGAATACATATAATTGTAGTTTTTTTTTTTTTTTTTACAACAATATACTAGAAATAAAGAGGACTGTGTTCTTGTATGAATTAGTTCTTTGGTTTTCTAGGGGACAGTTTATCTCTGCAGTCACCTTGGAGTCTTCTCTAAAGACAAACATTTATCAAGCCATTTAATGTATATATGATGTCGAACCATGAATTGATTTAAATGGCACTAATGCATAAAAATGTTGATTAACAAGGACCCTACTGAAACTCTATTTTTTTGAAAATCAAGAAAACGTTCATTTTCCTGCTGCTTTGTTTTGATCAGTCTTTATTGACTGTAAAATGTTTTTGGCACCTATCATTTTTCAGCCACCTCTCAGTGCATATTGGTCCCTGCCTGGACACCCCTGTGAGAATTTTCTGAAACTGCCACTGGTTGAAACATGATGTTGAAATGGCATATTGTTTTCATTTCTATCTGTTTAATGTTTGACTGAGTTGATATTCTTCACTAAAAAGAAAAAAGGATAGGGAGGAAAACTAAGTTCCTCTTTGGGCCAAGCAGCACGAAGAGCAGTGAAGAGGGAGACAGAAGTAGAGCTGGTACTACGAAAGGAAGATACTGTGTAAGAACTGGATATGCTTTAAAAATCAGATGTTTAATGAAAGATAGTTGAAGTACCTGCTGCTGTTGTTGTTTAATACCCACAAACCCACCTAGAAGTTCTAACTCTAGACCTCAGTATTTTTTGGCCATGCGTCGGCTCTGTAGACTAAGTATAGCTGTTCTGTAGAGCACAAGAAAACCTTTTCTGACTGGTTAAAAAAAAACTCTTTAAGGTAATTACAAGCATGTCTCTGTAGTCTGTGATATCAATATGTATGGATCTGCTAGACTATATTAAATTTAAAACATTCTTTTTTCTTGTAATTTTCTTAATCCTTTCTTTTTTCTCCCACAACAGCCACATCTAACCTCAAATGGAGCTTTGTGTACATTTAAGAATAGTAGGTGTGGGATGTAAGTCATCTGTCCTTAATGTTAATTTTCCCAACCCACCAGACATTCCCCCCCCAGGGACCCCCCACTCAATGTTTTCCACAAACTCCTCCTGACATCAGTGAGATTACAATGACAGACCGCACACTTTTGCACCTAGGATGTCCGTTCATTTTCTGTTGACTTGGCATTGGGGATGACATAAGGCTCCCTTACACTGTATGCTTTGATACTTTCTGCACACAGGGAGATCAGACATGCATAGTAGCACCAAGCAGATGGCTTGGGAAGGTCAGAAACCCTCACTAAAGACTGCAGCACGCTTTCAGTGAGCTGGTGGGATGTGCATGTTATCCTACCACTCAAAGTCCAAAGGTCTTTTTGCTATCTTTTCATTTAACAGTTTTTATTAGATTTTAAGGGCAATTTGTTAGAGCACTTGCCCCAGGAGGGATCTGGGCCATTGATTGTAGAAGCAGAGGAGTGTGTACATGTATGTGTACTTTGGCATGTATGTGTGTCTGGTTGGGCTTATTGTTGGTCCATGTATTGCTTTCTTGCCAAAAGTGAAACCAGAGAAGCAGAGATAAAGGGAAAGGAAGGGTCTGAGAAAATGGAAACGTGTGCACATGCGGGTGCACAGTGCAATGTCACTGTAAGTGTGTTTGTGTGTGTAAGTGAGATGGATAGCCTGTGGCCAGGGCGCATTAACTCTCTGCCAGACTGGTTACGACTCAGTGGGAATGTCACTGGAGAGCCGGAACAGGATTTAATGCAATCAGGGTGCAACGTCGGTCCAGTCGAGGGCAAAGAGCGCAGATCTGCAACCCTTCCAACAAACATCCATCTCTGCAAACGCTGAACAGGTCTACAGCTCGGTTTGGGCTCAGAGCTATTAATCTTTCTGAAAGTGTTTAACAGGTGTGCAGCTGAGGGAGGTGGGTAAAACACATGGGCAACTTGCCAATTCTTTACACAACAATTTAGCTCTAAAAATGCCACAGCACTTTTGATCTCATGTAGTATGCCTTTTAAAAGTATTCACACCTCAGACTCTAGACTTTTTCACGTTATCACATTACAGCTGTAAATATTAATTTACATCCATAGGGAATTCACATGATCTCTTAACACAAGGTATACAATAAGTATGTTATGTTTTAGAATATGGTTCCTCAAGGATTTGAAATCTGAAAGGTACGGCACAAATTTGTTTTCTGTCTTAACTTTGATAGTCCAAATTAAAATCCAGTTTACCAAATGCCTTGTACTGAAAACACTTAAATAAACTACCCTGAAAAGCAATCTTTTCCTTGCTACAGTTTTTAGTTTTTTTTTTCATTTACAGTCTGATATTGTCATGATTTTGGTGCTGAAGGGTGGCTTGATTGTTTATTTCATTTAATTGTCGACTGCTGGGCCGCTAACTGGACCTCAAAGAATTTTTTGAAATAGTCGATAAATTGAGTTTTCAATTCATATAGTATCAACTGGCTCTTTTATTAAAGGTTACTTTATACTTTTATACTTTAAGTTGGTTTTGGAGCACATAATTTTACACTTTTCCTTGAGGAAAGAGGTCAAGTTGATACTTCAACTTTAACACTGCAGTATCTATACTTAAGTAACAAATGTGTGTACTTTTGACAACACTGCCGGTGAGGCAGGCGGGGGGGAAGCACAGTGTCCAGGCTGCCATTACCAGGTCGGGTTTGGTCGCTCCGGAGCTGATGGCTTGGTTCGGGTGCCTGGTGTGTTTCGAGTATGTGTTGCAATGTAATCGACCAAAATCCCAGACGATTGTGAAATCCCCCCGGACATTTTTTTAGGTGTGAAAAGTAGGACATATCCGTGAAAAAGAGGACGTCTGGTCATTCTATCATATCAACAATTTTGATGTTTCAGTGAGTGAGTGCTTGTTGCTATGATGCGTCTTGCTCAGCAGCATGCTCGCTTGTAAACCATCCAAATCAACGCACAGCTCATCTAAATATTCATGAGCATACCATTAAAGGAAGAAAACCTGTCGTTTTAACCAGGCTTGGATTAGGGCTCATAGAACAGCAAATATGCCATTTTCAGTCCAACCAATGTTACACACCCTATCAGAGACCTTAAGGGCCAGCACCAAATACTCCTATAGAATCATTCTATGAGTCCTTTAAGAAAATCATCACCATATCATGATGCAAATATCAATAGATTTCATCTAGGGGGTGGTGTGTTCAGGTTTCTTTTAGCAACACTCTTTTGGACATAGGCCAGAGAGTTGCATTTTGTTCTCATGGGAAAACAACACCTTCTTCCACAAGCTAGCAATTCACCCTACATGCTTTGTGACATCAATTTTAATAGGACTGCTTATGGCTTTGTCTCATCTTTATTTTCAAAAGTCTTCCAAAAGGGGAAGATTTCCTAAGTGCATGACGAAGAGATTATTTTTGGATGGATTATCTAACTGAAGCAGCTCATTTCATAGTCATAGCTTTGCTTTCTTTTTCTATTGTTCGATGACTAAAGAGAACCTTTTTATATGTTCAAAGCTTGGGGTGATGCTAAATAACCCAAACCTGCTTTATTGTCTTCACAAATGTATCTCGGACCTCTCTTCTTTCTCTTAGTCTCCATGGTGCCATTGGTTCCGTTTTCTGACAAAACTGATGGAAAGGAAAGGCAGGTGTACCTCAGGATAAAACACTGTGGGCGTCTCTCCTGCTGCATCATGTGGAACGCCCTCTCAGCTGAGGAGAAGATGTGAGGCGGAAGGGAAGAGCAGAGGCGACCAGTGGAGCTCAAGTACAACTGACTGACCTAAAAAAAGAGATGGATTCTTTACATACTGCAAGACGTCCACATAACCAGGGAAGGGATCATTTTCTACTAGAGTAAAAGTATACTGGGTTACATTCTCTTAAAGTGTGGGACTGTGTTTAATTATTAGATTAAGTTTACTAACAAAGTAACCATGTAAATAGTTTACATAAACTCAAAATTTCAAATCTATATAGAAGGAATTCAAACTACTTTATATCACATAATTGCAACATTGTTTTCAATGACTCTTATAAAATAATACATTAAAAGTCATACTCGTTTTGAATTGGTGTCACTTTAATGTCATTCATGCTATGTAAATTGTGAGCAGATGTAAGTCCCTGGGTGCCCAGGCCAGCAGCAGTGACTGCAGAAAAAAGGGATGGAGGAGGGTTTAGGCACCATGACACCAGAGAAATTGACAGATGGCCAGCAAAACACACATGTTGGGACATATGTCCTTCTCACATTAGCTCTCTTCTGTTCCTCCACACAGGCTTATGTCTTTCTGGGTGTATCTGCTTGGAGAAAGTCCACACAGAGGCACGACAGCCACAGTGGGACAAAGATATTTTCTCCTCTCCTCCTTCATAGCTATGTCTGGGGCTAACAAATTAACTGCCATCATTTGATACATTTTAAAATTAAACATCTGTCTTTCAAAAGTCACAGACACAAATAAAGATTCATTCTTTTTACTGATGCTGTAAAAGAAAAAAGGGATTCTGATTAACTCCCATAGGGTTGTGTCAATATTTGATTTTTTTCTTTCCTGCTGTCTGATTTCTTTTTATATAAAGAAAAAGACTGTAACTGAGCTGGTTTCTGTCTGGGAACAGCTGCTTCTGTGCCTTTTCTCTGGCTAATGCATAGTCAGCTTTATGTTGTGGATTACTAACAGGAAGACTGCATTATTTATTATCTACAAGGTCCATTTGACCCCCTGCTGCCCCAGGTTTTATGCAGGAAACTGATTTCCTTTATAGGATTTTACAGCTGTAATACATATTTAATAGAATGTATATTCTGCTGTTCAACAAAGTGTAATTCTGCATATTACCATCTAATTTAAAATATTCTAAAACATAACAACTTTTTCACTGAAAAAAATAAAGATATTTTAATAACTTGTGCTTACCAAAGTGGAATAAATAGGCAGCTCTTTGTTTGGATTGATCAGTAGGAGAATATGTCCAATGTAAGTCTAAAGAAGAACAGGAAAATACATTTTAATAGCTAACAAAAACAAGACTTCATTTATTTATCAGTGATAAAAATAAATAATAAAAGTAAATAATTAAAGTATAAATAATAAATAATAAAAGTAAATAAAAATTCAAAAAAGGGAAGAACACTATTAAACTTCCAGAATTTTAGGTGAGTTGTTTGTATACAGCACTTTTGGGGTGATTTAAAATACAAAGCATTTAAGGACCAGATGAGGTATAAACAGAGGGAACAGAGTCACTTAAATTTATTTTTCAGTAAAAATACCTAAAAAGTTGGTAGAAAAAAAAAAGTTACACAAAATAATAGAACTAAAATGAAAGGGTTTAGTTTCCCAAAGCTTAAGGTTACTTGGAGCACATGGATTATTCTGCCTTTTTTTCTCCTATTTCTGTTTATTATTTCTTTGCTCTGTTCTCTTTTGTCCTATTCCACTCCGATAGAAGACTGAAGGAAATCAACTACAGAACAAAAAGTAATCAGAGATAGATCATGTCACTATTTTAAAGACATGATTAATGCTGTGCACCAAAATACTTTCTGTGGTTATGCCAAGCAGCAAAAAAGTTGACAGTGAGCAACACAATGCTGTACATCACTGATCTGACTGTTATGTGTAAAATGATCAAAAATAGTAATGATTGGTGCACTTTGTCAGAACATTTTCACTCTTTCTAAATGGATCCTACATGAAATGAACTATTAGCAGAGCTCCGATAGTCTCTTTTCTTTATCCACCCCTTTGAGTTCTTCCCTTCCTTCAGCCTCCACCACTGAGTATAACCCTTCAGTCAACTGTCTATCCAGATTCCAGTAATAGCAGACTATTACAGCTTCCCCACACAGAGGACAACTGCAGAGCGATTGAGGAGACTCACATTGATCCACTTCCAGTCTATATAAAACTCTACCTCTAGAGAGGAAGACTTTTAAAAGAATGGAGGAAAGAAATTATAAAAATAGGTTTGCTACTGGGAATGAAGACTTTGCCTTCAGAATATAGTAATGGATTTTTTTGTTCAGAACTGAATTGATTCGGTTGTTATTCAAAAGACTATGCCTGGGTTTAAAAAGAAAAAAGTTGTAGGTCACTTTGTTGTGAGGGTAGCTAAATCTTTTTAACATATTCAAAGAATAAAACCAACTGAATTTTGATTATTTTACACGTTTTAAATATAAACTTTTTTAACAAATGTAGCTCAGACTCAGATAAATTAGGCATTTATTGGCAATCTTTTTATCAGGAGCTTTGTAGAACTGCTTAGAAAAGAGGAGGTATAGTATAAGAGCCAATGACCAATCTGTCCAGAGCTTATAATGCACATTTTCTTACCTTAAACAATAACACAGGTTTAGGACATTCTGGAGAGTTCCAGAAAGGCCTTTTCTGTTTACAAAGGAACCTATACATTCCAGAAAATGATGCAAATCACATCATAATATAAAGTGTTTTCTGAAAATTACCAAAAGCCTTGAATATACTCTGTCATATCTGGTATAATAATTAATGGCTTCAACAAATGGAACATATAGGCTCTGGAAAAATAGGTCCACCTTAAATTACACCTGAGTAAAACCCAAACGTATCAAGACAGTTGGGTTTGTGGGTATCATTTAATTTCATGAAACATAGCCTGTAAGTTAAAAAAGAATAATTCTTGTATGTTTTAAAATAATGAGTTAGGTTCTGTGTGTGGGAAAGTAGACTGCAAGTCCTGGGTAAGAAACCTCCACATAACGAAAAAAAATGCAAAATAACTAGTAAGCTCTAGTTAACTATGAAAATAATGTTACAGTATGCCCTTAACATTGACCAAAGCTATGACTTTATAATATGCGGGAGACAGACTAAAAAAGTTCTGGATTATACGTAAACATAACTGTGAAGTTCTGTGTGTTATACTTATTGTTTTGTATAAGCAACTATGCACATACTGAAAAATACACTGACTGCTGTAGAAATGCTGGGTATTAAGTTTGTGTAATGTGATCCAAACTTTTTGTATTGACATTTCCAAACTATACTCAACATTCCAATACAAAAAGACATCTGTAAAGTCAAGAAAATATATTTGGTATTACTTTTTCTTAACTCTTAGGCTTTATGCTGTTTAATCTTTTGTGTATAAGACAAAAACATAACAGGCTTACATAGATTTGGTCATTGCAAAAGCGCTTCTGCATCTCGTAGAGCAGGCTACTGTCAGTCAATTCACTGAGGGATGCAAGGTCATCATTGGGAGCTGGAGGCATCAGCTTGACCTAAAGAAACACAAGAAATTAAATATGAATTCAGACAGAGGGGTTTAGCAATTTTTTTTATGTTGCTCCCCTGTTACAAAAGTGTAAAAATACTTCTTCTGGTATTTTGTCTTCACTTTAGGCTTTTAACATCTGGAATAAACGTGTTGAATTTTGGATGATTGACTAAACAGGGTTTTATGAGAGATTTTGTATTTAGGGTTATATATTAAGCTGATGAAGATTCTCAGTCATCTTATATATCATCACTTATATATTAAGGCTGTGTCAAAGCAGAGGTGAACTCTCTTAATCAAATAGTTGGTAACTGGTTACACTAGATATTATTTAGCAGTATCACAGATGCTGAATATATTAATTAGCCACCTTAACATATCTTTTAAATTGTAAAAAAAAATTAGATATCAAATTTACATCACTACAACTGCTAACTTATGTATGTTGCAGTTTATTAAATGAGCAATAAGTAAGAAAATCATTCTCATTTGTCACCAGACCTGAAAGTAACATGTCATGATCTGCCCTGATAGCTGATCTTAATTGTCACCAACCTGCCTAATTCTGCCCAGTCTCTAATTATCACTCATCTCATCCACCTGCATCTGTTGCTTTATATCCGGCTCAGCCCAGCTATTGGGGCAAGATCATTGTTTGATTGTTGTACGTCTGTTTCCTTAGTTTTTGAGTTTATTCCAAGGTTCATGTTCCCATCCCCGGAGGCCAGTGGGTTGAGAGGGTTACAGTGTTTGTCTTGTCTCCTGGTTGTGTTTTGGGTCTTTCCCACTGAGTTTAAAGTTTTTCACATATCCTGGTGTCTTGTCTTGCCTCCGTCCCTCAACTCCTGAGCCTGCCTGTGCATATCTGCCTGGGCTTGCTTCTGTGAACCTACCTGAACACTCTGTGGATTCCTAGAACCCTGGATATGTCTGTTTCTGTGCGATTCGGAACCCCTGACCAGCATGCAGACTTCTGGATTCCAGAACTGTCCTGCCTGATCTGTTTTCCCTGAGCTGGATTGAATTCCTGCCTGTTCACTGAGGTTGCCGCAGCTCCTTATTGCTCCTTTAGGCTTTAAATTTCAGTTTAACTTCAATATAACAATTTTCTTTATAATCCAAAGGCACTGTAAGAAGGCTCATCATGAAGTGGACTGTGAGGCAAACTTACCTGCTCAAGCTTGCTGGGTCCAGAGCTAAAGGGGCTATCGAGGCCATTATCCTGAGAGGGTTGTTGGCTTAGTGCTCCACTTGCCTCTCTGAACATTGTACACCTCTCTAGCAGACTGTCCCGCTTAGAGATTGAGAGACCAAGCGGGTTCCTTTTTAACAAACAACACGAGAAGTAAAGAGATTGTATAATAGGCAACATGATACCAACTTGACAGTATATTGAAATGTAATATTAATTATAATTAATCATAATTTACAGAGTACAAAAGAAAACTGTGCACATGCAAGAGTTAACCCACAAAGTCTTGAGAGGTGTGCTGAAATCGTAGGAGCCCCCATCATAACGCTGATCAGTAGAAGGTTGGGGAGCAGTGGGATCTTTTAGTCTCTGCAACCAGCTCTCTTCTGCATTCAGCAGCATCTCTGCTATGGGTTCTGACACAGCAAGATCTGTTGATTACAAAAAAAAAAAAAACTAAACATCAGATTAGCATACAAATCTCACATTCCCAAAAAAATCTTTCATTTCATGTACTGCAGATCTCAGGCTAGTGTTCAACTTCCTTATCTTTCTTTGGAAGCAATCAAACATTTATTTCTAAGGTGAAGACGACAGTCCTTCTCTCAATATAATCAGTTCTTTAAAATTAGTTTGATAACACTTATAGTGTGAATCAATCCAATGAAACAGAGGAGATGAGGTTTAGGATCTCACTGACTGTAATAATCCCTAAGAGAGCCTAAAGGAGAAATTATTGGTTTGGGATTTTATTATTTCTGCATGACAGACAGCACCCCTGATAGCTATCTCTTGTAATTTTTTTTCCACATGGTTTGTAAAAATGAAAAACATGCTGCTCTAAGTTTGAAGTATGCCAATTGTCTCAGCCTTTTGGAATTTGTCTCTGTGTTTTTTTCTCTACATCCAAGTATGGCCTATTGATTAAGATCAGAGTTAATTAGTCACAGGCTTGACTAAATTCAGAGAGTTAATAACCGGCAGCCAAGGCATTCCATCCTACAAAAATGGAGGTTAAAAGATAAATCCAAAAGCTCCAGTAGGACACATTTCATCACCGTCTAACTGCACTGAGCTCCAAACTCTTTAGATTAGCATGTCTGTGTATTTGTTCATGGAGTGAGAGAATCTTTTTGGATTTAGTGACACTATAACCACAGATGTCGGTTTTATTTTAAAGGATAGACCAAGAACATTTTTATAAATATTGAGTGGACAGGAAATTGTACTTTGCAGTTTAAACATGAGTATATGAACATTTTAAATAAGCCCTGAAAACAAAGTAGATTTTTTTAACTAACAAAAATATTTAGTTTTTATAAAAGGCAACTGAAAAAACACGTTTTACCTTTGTTGTGATCAATTATCGCTGAACGGAAACTACTCCCCTCTGTAGACACACAACTCTGGCGGTGGTTTTAAAAGAGCCAACTCCCTGTTTTAACATTCTATTTTGCAGGTGGCCCTGTGCCGCTAAATACTAGTCTGAGCGCTCCCAAGCTGGAGCCTATGCTAAGTAGCGACCAAATCCCTCCAGAGAAGTCTGCGTTCCGTGGACCGAGTCAGACTGCCTTTTTCCTGCGATTCACAAGGAGCTGAACTCAGTGATTTTATTTTTCCTGTGATTCAAACAGAGTTGGGCGCATTGTTTCCTGAATCAGAAACTAAGCAGAGACAGAGAAGAGCTAATCCAGTCCTGCTAACCTGAATCTGACCACCGAACAACGGGCCCCCCAATCGCTGTTTGCCAAAGGAGCCAAGGAAGCCGCCAGACCCGTGACTGCCTGAGAAAGAGCAGCACCAAGGAGGTGCTGCTGAAGGCTGTGGCTACAAGCTCACCACCGTATCTAAAAGGGAGATGTCCCGTGCTACCATGAGTTATAAAATTTACCCCCTTGCAAAATTGACTTTTATTATTGCATTGGATTGATCCAAATACCTTTGAGCTGCTGTTGGGCACGGACTGGACTGCTGACGGGGCCTGCAGAAAACCGGACAGAGCCAAAGGCCTTCACTCCACTGAACCAAAACAGTAACATCATCCTTCCCCCTGTTTTAATAAGTTTTATGATTGAACTGCTGATGGTTTTCTGAGTTTTAACTGAATGCTAATGTTCAATGTGTTGTTTACTGTAAGCTAACTGCTGCATTTGAATGGCTAGCATTGTAGCTCCAGCTACCTCATGCTGAACATGTTATAGAGGCTACATTGTGAGCTTACCCTTTCTATTTTTCAGTTTGACCTGACCAGACCAAAACCAGAACCTCTGGGGCCAGCTAAGCTAAGCTAACAGGTATTTCAGCCTCATTGCTGTTTAATGCAAGTCCTTATTCATTTTTCACCATAAAACAGAACGAAACTTCACTGTTTTGCCTGCAGTTAACATCTCTGCGTCAGGTTTTTTTTCCACATTTATCTGCTGCTATTTTTAAAGGACACTTTCAAATGCATTAAGCCTTAAACTTCGAACATTCCTCAGATTTGGAACAGACTTTTAAACTCCTCTTTCTCTTTTATTTATTTATTTATTTATTTATTTTTTTTCAGTAGTGTTTAGTGTCTGCTTAGTCATTACATATAATACTGTTTGATTGTAGCTAATAAAGTTGTATTTTAACTTGCAGTCTTTTGTGTTTATTTTAAACAGTTTACAATTTATCACTCAGGCTGGATTCTATCTTCTAATAGTAGCATCCGAATGAACAGAGAAAAATGTATTTGGTTGGTGATTAATAACGTTGCTGATAGCCATAGTCTAAATTACTAAATTGGTGAAAGACAACTGGATTTTTAACACCAAGGAGTCCAACATTTGAGGTAAGAGGGTAAAACCCTGGTCAGTAAGGAAATTTCAGCTATAATCATTCAACTGATAACAATTAATAGTTTTACACTTGATCTTAATGATCTATTAATTAAGTATAACTTCCAGTTCTAGTTATTTAATATATTCAAAATCTTCTCATAAATTCTCACAACACCTTGCAGCTAATGTCTAAACTAATTAAAAAAGGATAACTGGGTCTGACGTAGGAACTAAGCCTCTCCAAAAAGGTTTTACGCACAATTGCCTTACAGGTCTTAAAAAAATCCAACAATGTAACATAAAAAAAAAATCCACCCTTGCTTTTGAAATATTCTAGTCTGAAATATTTTGTGCCTTTAACTATTAATTTTTAAATATTATAGTTTAAAAAAATAAATAAATTGAAGAATTTCTTCATTTTGCCTTTCAGGGGTGCTACACAAGTTACCTATATACATTATTTATTGATGTCTAGTTTCAAACCACCAGAATAATTTCATGTTTGAATGGGCTCTTTAGACATACAAAGGACACTTTTTATAGGGAAAAATTCCGGCTTATATATTTCCCTTTCACTTCACAATTAGCTTCGACTTTTAAGGCCTTTTATATGGACAAGATGGCTGCCTAAATGTGGTAAGTCACCTTTGCTGTACAACAGGAATATCACCAGATATTATCCTCAAAGAATTCTGGACTTTAATGTGAATGCATACACTTCTGCATGTGAAAACAAAGTTACTAACAATTCTAAAAGAGTTAAAAAAGAATCCACTGGACTTTTTTTCCAAGTTTGAAGACGTTTCGCTTTCCACCCAGGAAGCTTATTCAATTCAAAATGTCAGAAATAGCGTTAAGTTTGAGGCTTTATAGAGTGGACCAAAAGCCTTGTTTTGGGTTAGGAAATATGGAAATTCAATCGGACGAATGGGTCCTCCCCTTTGGAGGTGGGTCGTTTGGGTTCATTGTTAGCCTGCCTAACCCGATACCTGTCTATGTCTCAGAAAGGGTGGTCAAGAGAGGGAATTGTTGGCCTGGCTGAACAGGCGAGTTGTTCTGTTCCCCTGTAAGAGAGTGAGGGTTGCGATGATATTGGGAAGGAATCAACTCAATTGCTGCACGTTTTTTTGAAAGCTGAAATCTTTCAGAGTCCAGTCCCTCTGTTTAATTGTTTTTTCTTTCTTAAAACCGATGGCTTCCTTCACACCCATCTCAAACCACCTATCTTCTTTGTCAAAAATGTGAACATTCAGAAATAACAATATGACCGACATGCTGGGGACCAGAGCAGTGTGTCTTAGCCTGCAGCAAAAAATTTTCTTAAAAGATTGTTTAGGGAATTCCAAGCCCTATACTGATATATCTTATCCCAAACTATACATGGTCTTCCTGTTTAGTGCTTTAACAACAACTTTACTTACACGTAATTCTATTTCAACAGAAGCATTAGCTGCCACAAAGGAGAAAATAAGGTTTTTAAAAGAGATCCTTAATCACATATCAAACACATACATAAATTTCAGGTGTATGGTTCAGTTGTGACTTATTATTTATTCATATATTTCCTAAAGAACGGCGGCTACCTGTCAAAACAGGAACAGATGTTCACCAAAAACATCTGAGAACAAGTATTTAGCACAAAACTGCCCTAATTATTTTTTTTCCCCTGTGGTCTGCTAAAATAAAGCACAAAACAAAGGATATTATTAGATAAGGACAGAGATGTTGTTACTGTAAAATGTTTTGTAACACCCTCTATATTTTGGTATTGTGCTTATATGCAAAAGCAACATGCACACATATATGCACATGTATTTATGTCTTAAACAAAACGTATCCTTTTACTTATTCTGCTTTATATATTTCAACTTGGTTGAACATGTTGCTCTGTCCAGCTGTAGTGTTGTTTTTTTATTTTCATGCTGACATACTTATCTGTGTAAATGTGTATGTTGAGCGTATTACCAGATGGCTTGTCTTGGTTGCAGTTGAGCAAAGTTGGGTTTGCTCCATACCTCAGGAGCTTGCAAACAATGCTGATCTGTAAAAAAACAAATAAAACATCATCTGTATTTTTGTAATATCTAAGAAAAAGAAATGATTTGATGGTTGAGTGGATAGATGGATAAATGGATGGATGGACGGATGGATGGCAGGGCACAATAATTTACTATACAGGAAACTGTCACTATGTATATGTATATATATATATATATATATATATATATATATATATATATATATATATATCTATATATATATATATATATATATATACTTATAACTAGGGCTATGACTAATTAATAATTGGATAGCCAAAGGTTCCTTAAAGAAGACCTTTTACTAAATCCAACCAGGTGCAACTAAAACTTTTCCAAATAAGATGTTTGGAATAGAGCATATTGGAAGAAGAAAGAGTTTTTTTTTTAAATGCAAAATGTTTATATATATATGTATATATTTTTTTTACAATTTTGATATAATTACTGCTCTAAGTGGGTCATTCTGTCACCTAAAAGTATATCTTAAAGCAGCTCTACTCCAGTTAACGATTAATGGATTACTAAATTAGTTGACGATTATTTTAATAATCAATTAATCACCATTAATCCAATTAATTGTTTCAGCCATAGCTATAACTTTTACCCAAAACCAGCCTATTTGTCGGTGAAGATTCTTAGTCATCCAGGTCATAGTCATTCTAAAACCATACTTTTTGGAATAGTTTACTTGTCCTTCACCACATGAATTAAATGGTGTCACCTAAATGCATTTTTTTCTGGTTTTATTTCTATTTATTCTACCACTGTATGGAAATACATGCTGACTGTCTGACTAAACATTCTCATTGAAATACCTCTTTATTGTAACCACTGTTGGAATTGCCATCTACTTTCAAACTACACTTGCTCAACAACACAGCATATACATTTTAATCCTTATGAACCAAAATGAAAGAACTTTCTGTACTATCCCTTCCTGGGTTGATGGGTACTGGACGCATAACACAGTGGATACCCAGTCTGTGCTATTTATTATTATCCATGTGCTATGACAGGTATAATGTAATCCGTCTTTAGCAGCTTATGGTTGGATTCCTGGCTGCTTATTGCTAATTAATGTAACTTTTTTTCAATGTACCAAACCTTTTACTTAGAAATGAATATAGCTACGATTTACAATAAGCCTAAATACAACTGGAACAAATCAGCTTATAACTGATGATTTACAATTGGGGAGTTAAGAGAAATAAACGCATAATAAAAAACAGAACATTATTATAAAAGTATTCCCCCCTGCACCTGCACAACTATCACCTCCATATGCATGGGAAGCTGGAGGGATTATTACTGAATTGCAGCAACGTAGGGGTGAGATATAGGAGAAGAGCAGAGGAGAGTGAGTCAGCATATTCTCCAGACTACTGTAGCTCTGACCTATGCCAACAGCTGTTAAATTATGAGGCCAAAGCACAGCCTCTGCCCATGGAGCTTATCAGCAATGCTCAGACTCTATAAATAATGGCCACGAGTCAGAAGCACTAAAAGATGTGAACGCTTCGGCAAGTTAGGTTTAAAAGCAGAACAGAAAAAGGTTACAAGTACCGGTACATGGTTATATGTAAGGACAAATCAGCCTTAAAGCTGATAAACAAAAGCTGCAATGTTAGTAACACTCATGAACTCTTCTAAGTGATCAATTATTATCAATTTGGAAATGTTATGTTACAATTTCAAGTACCTTATAGTAGACGCAAGATAATTCCAATCTAGTTTTTACTTAATTGCTATGCCTATAAGCCAAAAGAAATTAAAGTGGGTGGTAATTTAATTCCTGCTAACTTTTGAGTGCAAATCCAACATAAAAGGAATAATTTGTTCCTCTAAAGACTCCAACTTTAAAAACCTTAATTCAACCTACAGGAGCTAGTATCTAACTTATCACAAATCCAAGGGAGAAAAGCTTAATTAGTTGGGTAATAGGGTCATATATCTTCTTAAAGGGTCACTTTAATGCACATGGCATGCTGCAGATGAGGTCTCAGAGTTTTATGTACCAGGAGATTCGTAGTTGCTTCATGTGGCCCTGAAAAACTAGCTAAAAGCGGAAGACGACAAATGGCAAATGTTAAGAAGGTGCAGAGAGTGTTTGGCATGCAGTGGGGAGCGCACTGTTACCAGTAAAGTGCAGAGAAGTGAGGTGATTTAGCACTGAAAGGAAAACCTAATCAATTCTACAATCCTCCAATCAGCCTCTGGTAAGTCTCACTTCTGCACATATCATTACTAGAGACACACTCACATGCATTTTAATTTCACATTACAAAATCGTAAGAGCAAGAGAAACAAGATGGTTAAAATCTTGTTCATTTTAACAGGTCTGTAGAATATGCATGCAGTATTATTCATGCAGATCTAGTGATTTATTTTCATCTAAGTATTGAACAACTAAAAGACATGATAAATAGTAAAGATAGACAGGAAATGTCAATAAATAGAATCGGGAAAGAATGTGTCCATGAAAATGAAATATATTTTAAGACAAAGAAAAGTGATTTGATGACAGACAAAAGGACATGGAGAATGATCAGAAGAATAAACTAATTGTCAGCATCCACAAAGTCAAAGGGTTAATTATACATTTAGTCGTGTCAGCAAGATCTGAAAATGATAATTTTGTTCTTTTCGTACCTTTCAAAACCAAATCTTTATTCCTTTCTGTGACTAAAACTGAATAGCCAATCTTTCTTCAGTCAATCTGCTAATCGGAAGCATTTTAATCAGTGATTACATTTTCTGGCTTCCCTATGACCTAGTTACTGGTATTAAGGTATTTCACAAATTACTTTCTCAATGCTGCTAAACTTTTCAATCTTACCCTTCCAACAGTTTAAAGCTCTTTTCTTAAGCTACCAAATGTAGCAACAAATCGACTGTATGTTTCTCCAAATTAATGGAACAAAAAGTAAAACAACTCTGCCCCTCTCTGATCTATTGCTACACATTGCCAGACAAGATTGCTACACCTTCGTTGTTGTAAAAGAAAGACACAATGGGAAACACTTCCAGACATCAAAACACTATGTTAGTGAAAGCTAACCAGAGTTAACCATCAGTATCATTTTAAAATCCTAGTTGTGCAAAAATTTGCATTACTATTAAGCAAAAAACTGCATGGACTACGTTAGCAGATAGCCCAGCTGATATGGATACTATTAGCAGGTTTTTTTATTCCAAGGTCTATGACAAAAGAAGCAACATTGTAGAAATAGTCTCCACAATAAGTGAGTTGAGTTTGAAACTATATTTAAACAGGTAGGTACATATTCTATACCTAGGCATGAAAATTTGCAAATAGTGAATCAATGTAAAAAAAAAAAAAGCAACTTTATAAACAACATTAATGTTCAATATTATATCAATCTGAGGTGGTTTGTATTGCTGCATTGCAGAAAATGTAAAACTTGGTAAGTCCATATTTCTTACAATAAGTGCATTTTGTCTTGAATTGTATTAATGCCAATGCATTGAGACAATTTATATTTAAAACAAGAACAATGACAATTCCTAATCATCTTATTTTAAGGGTAAAAAAACTCATTCCATTGGCAGATCATTCGATTCACCTACTCTAATTAATGGTAAATCCAATAATTTTAAGATATTTCTACTCATTTTCAGATCCTTCTTGCAGTGTGTTGATTTTTCTTTCTTTAATAAAACTTTTTAATAAATCATGTCACATATTTTTGTTTCTTATTTCAATAATCATACAATTACTCAATAAAAACCATTTGGTTTTTTATTCAAGTTTATCATCCCTTTAACGATCCCAGTCCAAATAATGCCTACTCTGTCTTAGATGCCCACAAGCAAGGTTCAGTGATGGAAGAATCCATCAATACTTTTCTCATTTTTTAATTAATGGAAGCAATCCCTTTAAATCAATGCAGCAAGTTCAGTTTTAATTAGGTATTTATTTGATTAATGCCAAAACATTGCACTGCAAATTACCTGCCCATATTTTGCAGCCAAATGGAGTGGGGTCCAAAAGTTGTTGTCGGCCGGATGGGGGTCTGCTCCACTTTCCAATAACACTGACACCACCTCTCTGTAACCACTGGCACATGCAATGTGGAGCTTTTCAGAAATGGAAATGCAAAAAGAACATATGATTAGAAAAATACAAAGTGGTAAAGAAAGAGTTGGAGAAATCAAAGTCAAATATTCACAAGCATAAATCTTTACAGCAGTTATTAAATTACCAGAGTGACTCCTTCATCATTTGGCTGGTTAAGGCTTCCCTTTGTGGTTACAAGATTTTTCACATCGGTCAGCATGGTGGTTGGTCTCTGTGTCTTTATAATATGCATGGAGGCCACATCTACACCTACAGTACAACACAGTAACATAATATTACACTCATGTTTTTATTACGGTTACCAATCATTCATTTATGTATTCACTTAAATATAAAACTGAGCACAGAGAAGCGCAGCAATAAAACTGAGACACCTCAAGCAGATAGATAGATTACAGTGTCCTATAAATCCTTTATACCCTTTTGGTTTATTTATTTAACATGTTTCACAAAACTTGGATTTTGTGACAAGTCAAGATAATCTAATGTTCGATTGTGCAGTGAAAGGAAAATAATATATAGCTTGACATTTTTTTTTGTAATTTCTGACAGATTTTTCCTATATGTTTAAAGATAAATCCAGCTCAGACTGGATGCAGAGGGTTTGTCATAATCAATTAGCAAGAAATCTTCCATTTAATGTAGACCTGGACTTCGCCTGTGGCTACACTTGTAAACATGAACCTAAACTATTTTATGCATGTGCATCAATGGATGATCCATGGGACAGTGTATTATAGGAGGTTTAAACTTTGATATATATATATATATATATTGAACATAACTCCTCCTTTAGCTCTTCTAAAATGTTATCCTCCATGGTGTATCCTTTGGTTTTCATGATGCTTTTTATCGCAAATTTTGTTAAGAAAACCACTGATATGTTACAGAAAAGTTTTTTTTTTTTAATGGAGTACTGCTTTTTTTTCTCTAACCAAAGATGTAACAGACTGCAAAAGATTTTGTGTGTGTCAAACAGAAGAGGCTTGGACACTTCACAGATTTTATTTAGAACATTTAGAAAACATAATTTTCCTTTCCTTTCACTGCTATACAGTACAATGCCTTTAGTATAGCAACCAGTGATAACTGGTGTGGTAGCTACTGTATAACACTGCTACACTGGTTGTCATTTATTAATAATAATAACTGAACTTTATTGATCTCACATTGGAGAAATGTACTTCTGCATTTAACCCATCCCCATTCGGGAGCAGTGGGCTGCTATAGTGCGGCGCCCGGGGAGCACTGTGGGAGTTAAGGGTCTTGCTCAGAGACCCAGAGTGGCAGTTTGTGGGAGTGCGGCTTGAACTCAGAACCTCAGGATTCTAAGCTCTATGCCTTAACCACTTTTTACACAAATTTGATAATTTGTGTAAAAAATTTAAAAGGAAAAAAAGCTTTTCAAGGTACTGATTTTCCCAATTGTGCTTAAAGATAAATTAAACAACTTGTAACTCTCTGAAAGTTCCTGATTTCCAAGAAGCTGAACACATTTTTTACAAGTGCTCATTAGTGGTAACTTGAACATGATGTCAACCATTTCACCTAATCAAATAAAGGTGAAAACTTGTGGGTCGAGCAAACAAACAAAAGGAAACCTAAATGGCTGCATGTTCAAAGCTGTACAGGTCAATTTCTTTCTTTCATATTGTATGCAAACACCAAGCCCAGCTTTCATTGTTGTAGCACAGTACATTGATTATCAATAATTCTATGTACCTGATATCTGTTGTAAACTAATGAGATTTTACCAAACCAGTGGGTGGAATCGGTTGATCAATATGTTAATCTTTACCAAATAAATGATAGCCTCGGGGTCAAGAGTGGTGATCTTTAAATGTAAGGCCAAAGGAGAATTTTAGCCTGTAAAATATTGTATTCCACCCAAAAACACATTCATGATAAAAAAATAAATAAATAAATAAATTCAGTCCAATTTAATCTGTGGTTTGATGACATTACTGGTTTAGTCAGTTATGATGCTTGTTTGGAGAACGTAGAGCGAAGTAAGACAGAGTCTGGTCATAAGTTTACATACACTTTTTTTCTTTAGATTCCAATGGCTTCATATTATTCACTTTCACAGGGCAGAATGGTTACACACATTAAATGTAGGTGATTTTTGAAACAAAACTTGTAATGTGAAGAATTTGAAAGATTATTCTCTTTCTTAATTATTTTATATTGCAAAAAAGCAAGCCCTCAATACCTGACAGCAGTTATATATTTTTAAGTGTAAAAGTCTCATCTCTCATAAATGTTTTTATCATCATAGCTAAATCTTGATCATATACTCTAATCATAAAAATATTGGATCATGGTCTTCACCTGTTAATTTAAATCATAACCTAAATGTGTGTTTCAACATGACAAAGATCTTATGTATATCATCTCAACCATTGTCGCTATCTGTTTATCTAAGCAGAGTTTTGGGGTGCGGTGAATTTCTTCTAATACCTCCCGTGGTCCTTGAGTAAAAGGTGTGTTCCACTTTGAAAAGATCACCACTCCACTACAACCAAACACTTTACATTTTGAATAGTGTACAAATGTAGGGTGAAATACCTAAAGGGAACCCATGCATACACAAGCTGAGCATACAGCTCCATGCAAAAAAACCCCACAGTTGGGATTAAAACCCAAGTCCATCTTGTTACTTCGCAGCTATCCAGAACAACTGTACCAAGATGCTGTCCATCTCCTATTCAGATCAGATGGAACTTTGGATAACTTACATTTTGTTTCCTTAAACCACATCCACCCCAAACCTCACCCAAGTTAAGAACATATGCTTTAACCTGAGCAGGAGGAGTGGTCAAACATAGTGCCAGAATTATGTCAGAAGCCCAGCATGTGGTAAAGGTTAATGTTGTTAGGGACTTGTTAGGGATGTCAACATAGTGGAATTGGTAGTTTCTTGAAAAAATACAGACACTCTTGACCCTGTGAAGCTTGTAGAAAATACACCATAAATTCAATTAACCAAGGATTCCTTTAAAGGGGTCATAGCATGTTACACCAAGTTTACATTGTCATAGATTAATAATGATAGTTCAGTGGGGGAAACGGACCAACAGAAAAGTTCAAACCCCACCAACAACCCCTTTCTCTGCAAATCTCACAATTCTAAACTTCCACTGTAGTCCACCAAAATCCCGGTCGATTAGAAATTCCGCCCCGGACATTTTTAAGGTATGAAAAGTAGGACATGTCCGGGAAAAAGAGAACATCTAGTCACCCTACCATATCAACAATTTGATGTCTCAGTGAGTGAGTGCTTGTTACTATGATGGGTCTTTGCTCAGTAGCTTTGCTAGTTTTACACCAACTATTCAGCACACATCTTATCTAAATATTCATAAGCATACCATAAAAGGAAGAAAACCTGTTGTTTCATTATAGGGCTTTTAACCAGGCATGCATTAGGGCTCATAGAACAGCTAATATGCCATTTTCAGCCCAACCAGTGTTACACACCCTATTCAGAGACCTTAATGACCAGCAGCAAATACACTATATAATCATTCTATGACTCCTATAATATACTGTATTTATCCCGATTGTCTGCTGTATAATCCTACCAGTGAAAAAAGCATGGTTCAAATACAAAAAGTTTAAATGAAACATGAAATCCATACTAATGAATGAAGTCAATCCAATATTCTGACCAGACAATGGTGATAGTAAAGGAAAAGAAAGGACATTAACCTTCAGCTCCCATCTCCTGGAATAGGGACACATGGAAAATCTGTCTTTCCTATAACTGCACAAACTTGATAAGGATAGAGAGCATACAACCCTGTTGCTAAGGCAACAGAGGCTGATTGAGCCCTTGTGAGTGAGGGTATGTTGCATGGAGGCAAAACCCAGTGGGAAGGGGGGTAGGTTTGGGAGATCACAACATGGTGCTGTCAGAGAGAAGATAGCTGAAGTGAATGCATCTGTGGCTGTGGCTGTGTGGGTGTGTTCTTTGGTGTGCATGTGTTTCTATACAAATTTGCTATCCTATGTCAGAATGTGACATTTATCATGTGATTTATTGCAGACTCCAAAGGGCTGATGCTAGATACAAAGCAGAAAGATACACCCCTATTCTTGCAATGTTTCTATGTTTTCCAGTATCATTCCCTTCCCACATTTTGTCTATTTTAATTTAATCACATCAACAGTCTTTACTTTTCATTCAGTTAGCCATTTTGAATGAATTTTGCCTAACTGCTTTTTTCTCCCTTCCATTTTCAGCTAAACTACTGACCTTCGCCTTTGTCTCTAAAGGAGACAATTTTCCTAATCAACTTTCTCTATCAGACAGCCTGTGGCTTTATTTGACCTTGAAACAGCCTGATGTTCAAACGCAGAGCAATGCATTTCACCTTAAAGCAAAGAGTCTATGTAGGTGTAGATTAAACATTAAACTAAGCATTTATATGAGTGAAAGCTTTGTGAACCGAGAATGCCTGATAAAAGACTCATTTTTGTGTTATGGGGAACATTGCAAAATTGACAGAAAAAAGCTACAGATCCTCAGAAAGCTTTACCATTGTCCTCCAAATACTTTCGGAGAATATAGCTGGTCTCCGTCCCCTCAAAAGTGTAGTCCAGAGGAATGTTTCCATTGATATCCTGCAGCAAAGCGTTAACTCCAGCCTGTTAAGTAAAAAGCAAAGAAGACAGAAGCATTTATCAGACCTAAACTGAAAATAACTATCAACACCTCCCAGTGACAAACCTGAACTGAAAATTATTTAGATAAAAGTAAAGAACTCATTATACAGCTATTTATCCACTTGTGAGTTACAATTTAGGAGTTAGGGATTGGTCAAAGCAGCCAGGGACTTTTCCAGATTAGGCATAATTTTATGAAGGATCCCTCAGAAGAGCATTGAGCAATATACAATTGAGGGATACGGTTTTAAATGTCAAAGTTTTAAGAATCACAAAACGTTGGTTCAAAATCTTGCCAGAGAAAGAGGAGGGCTTTTTACAGTGGGTTCTCTAAAGAAATTAAGTGGCACTCCCTTTGCTCTATCTCTTGGGTTAAGCTGTTAGATTATATAGAGGCCAAAAAAGAGCATGTCCATAGATTTTTTTTTTCACTTTATAAAATTATATAAATAAATAAAAATCACAGATGGCTACAGATGGACTGGTGTGTGGTATCACAGAGCAGAGTTCAACCAGTTAGCTTCCCTCTGGTTGCAAACAGGCCAACACACACATCAGCATCGTGGCAGAGCATAAAAGCCATAAAATATCTAAGAAACAAATGTAATAAGTCATAATGCTTAAAAAGTTGTAGTTCACATGATTGCATGGCAAAAGTATTGCTAAGTTTTGTTCTTTGTGTTTTTTTTTTTAACAAACTTAGATTTGTTAGTACTGTAAGATAGTCAGTACAAGCATAAGTGGGAAGCAAAACTGCAACAGCCATACGCTTTATCTAAGTGTTACTTTTATTATATAATTTGAATAACATTTCATAATTATAAATATTATTCACTGGCTTAAGAACTCAGTTGTTTAACAAATAGAACCAATATTTTCAAACAGAAAGGTAATTTTAGAACTGAAACTAAAAAAAATAGACAATATTCGTTTTTAATGAGAAGTAAAGCTGTTTGAAAACATTCATTTCCATTCGAATCTAGTGAAATTCATTTTCAAAGTAATGCATTTCATTTCAAAATACATTAAAGCAGATTCCATCAGAGCATTCCAAATTCAGTTTCTCATGACACAGGTTCCAGCCCATAAATTACCCAACCACATGGCCTAAAACCCAAAGGCTAACAGATTTAACCTCTTGCAGTCAGTTGACTGACTTGATTAAATGTTGTGATATATCAAAGTCAAAGTCAAAAAGCCTTTATTGTCATTATATTCTGTGACAGATACAATGAGATTTGGGACTTCCATATTGTGATATATATTGAAATACAGTGGTAAAACATAACTAATTTAATCAGAATATAGCAAAAATATTCTTTTACATCAAGGATAACATTTGTGCTTGGACAGAGAAATTCCTGTGATAATGTTGATGTGTATTGCAAACTCAGAAAACTGACAATAGGCTTCTTCAGCTGCTGCTATTGTTGTTTAAGTCACTGATCTTTCTCTTCTTCCATGAATGGAAGATGACTTAAAATGACTTAAAAAGTTCAACAAGCTAATTAAGATGGCTGTTATGTTCTAGGAACTCCTTTAGAACCTCTGGAGACTATTTCACAAAGAAGAATTCTTAATAAAGTAAAGAAAATTATGGACAACAGTGAGCATCAACTTTTGAAGATTTTTTTTAACTACAACAGAATGTCTTCAGTCAGAAGCTTCTCCAGATCTGTTGCAAGACAGACTGCTACAGAAAATCCTTCCTGACTACAGCCAACACCTGGAAAAAAAACAACGTAAGAGTTACTGCAACATTTAATTTCCCTTTGGGATTAAGAAAGTATTTTTGAATTGAATTGAATTTGTTCTTATTTAACAATGTATTTAAGCATTAAAGAGGAATTTGAAGTAAACATTTTGGATTTCTTACCTGTATGATTATGCCACTAAATATTGGAGGAATAAAGTAGCCTATTGGAAAATAAACAAGTAATAGTTGTATTTCCAGATGACTGTCACTGTACTCTTTGATACATTTAGATGCAACAAAACTCCCCTGAGGCATGGAGAAATTGACTGCTGATAGGAATTAGGTTATTTTCTTCTCAGTCTAACTAAACCAGCAACCATATGCATATTTCCCCAAGCGCCATCTGCCTGAATAACTGAGACACAAAGATATTCCTACATAAGGTAGATAAAGAGGCCAGGTGTTTACAGCTAACAATTAATTTTCTACAAGATAAAGCGGATCAATCCTGCATTTGTAACAGTTTTACAGCAATAAAGAAAGAAATAATAAAAATTGATTGATTAAAGTATTTGATTAAAATAGATTGTCAAGTTGGGCATGTATGCTCCTATGGGAAAAATAAAATGTGGGAATCGAGAAACAAGATCGGAAATAAGGTAGGGCTGGACAATATTTCAGTATATTTATGAAATGACATAAATACATGTCTGATATTTCAATATACAATACAGTCTATGAATTTCAGCCATTTGTCACTGAAGTTAAGGATTTTACTTAGTTTTATGTGGCAAATAATTCTAAAATGATGGAAAATAATTGTTATTGTTATAAGTGTTTACAGGTATCTGTTGTGGCCAATCTTGGCGGTTTTTCTGAGGCTTTTATTTTTTTTCCACGTCAATATACGAAAATTTTTAATATGGACCAAAAGTAAGAAATTTTTCTTGATATAAGTTTTGGCCATATTGTCCAGCATTAAATCAGGGTATGCATAAATGTATTGTAGACAACTACTACTAAGCATAGAGGTTAAAGTATATAATATATTTTTAAGTGACCACTTTTTTAATATAATGTAAAACACTAGAATTGTTGGCTAGCATTTAGAAATATAACTGCTGTCAGGTTTTCATTAGCTAAATAAAATCTTGCTAAATCCCAGCAGGGCTTTTAAGCAGTCAATGTTCAAAATTAGAGCATTTGGAAAAGTAGTGAAAACAACAGAGTATATTAATGGCCTGGTTCCCTGCTGTTTGGAAGCAGAAGATAAGAGAATTAATATCATTGGCAGTGAAGTACTCCATCTTCTCATCAACCCCCACCCTCACTGTGCCCATGAGAGTTGACTGGCAAACCTCTCAGTCAGCAGAAACCACTCTGTCTCCCCAGCATGGAAACGGGAGACAGGAAATCAAGGAGAGAAGCACAGGGCCATAGAAGAGAAATGGGGAAAGAGATGGCGGAATAGGACAGAACAGATTAGAACACATTAGCTGCTGTATTTCTTCCTGTGTCAGTCAAAGATAAGGATGGCTCAATCAGACTCCTTTTGTTCAGACCATTCTTCAATTTCCAGTTAAAATGTAAACCGTTTAAATTAAGGGCCTAAAGAAAATCACTTACAGCTGCTCAGATAAAGAAACATCCCATATTTACTTTGCAACAGAAAGTCACATTTACTGAAGATGCCTGGGAGAATTTGCAAAACCAAGCAACTGAAATTAAATAGACGGCTTGCAACATTTTTCTCTGAGTTTTAAAATGTACAGATCTGGACTGGAGGCACTGCATAATTGCACCATATATATTAATGGTTTGAACTTCCATATCAATGGGTTATTTTGCACAATTTCTTTTCTCCCACACTGTTTACATTTGATCACTGCTGCACTTCATGGAATAGAAATGTTCATTTACTCTCTGAAACCTGTATCAAACTAAATTTCGTTTGTATACACTCTGTGTATACAAAATGAAAATAAAAGTTGTCTTAGGCCCTTTCTCAATATGTGTACTTGTGCGTTCTCATGTGCTTGTGAAACATCATCAACCGCAGCCCTAGTACTGTTCCAATTCACAAGAACAGTATACCGAGAATGGACAAAGTCCCCAGATGTTGTTCTCGCCCCTCCCTATTTACCGAGCATGCATCAGAGCAGACTTGTCTGGTTCTTGAGTTTGACAGCTGTCTTAGAATGCACCGCGGCAGCAGCAGCTTTCAATGAAGGGTTCCATTGATAGTTAAAAGTTCTCTTTTCTGCTGCAGTTGTTCAATAAAAGTACATTTTAAGATAATTTGAGGCAAGAATATTACACTTTAAAGCGTCACTATGTGAACCATTTACCGATTTAATGCGTCATTTAAAAGAATTCTGAAGTTAAGAGGACCACCGCAACCAGTGGACCTCCGAGGCTAATAGCAGCCAGGGCTAACCGCAGCCCGTCTGCAGCTGCCCTCTCTCGGCTTAGCCGGGGGTTAGTCCTGCTGGCTCTGATGGTGCTATTTTTTGTTTTATTTGGGGAAACGTTCATTTAATGTGTGTTTATCTGACTGAAAATAAATGCATACTAAATACACACAAACATTCCCTCATGTACGTACCCATCAGCCATAGAGTAGTAAAAAAAAAAATTTAAATCTAGAAAAGCAGACATTTCCATTCCTTTCAGGATCATCTTAATCCTGTGTAACTGAAGGTTAACAGCAGTCACCTAGGAGCCAATCAGAGGAACCAAGCTGTACAAGATTCTGTGGAACTCTCTACACCAGTCAGCTCTCTGTGGGCTAATCAGCACCAGTAGAACAGTCCCAACTTATTGAGTGACTAGGCTAGATGGGCATACCCTCCCCTGCAGCTGGCACATTTCTCATTATGGACCTAATCAGTGTAACCGTAGCTCTTGTCAAGGGAATCTCTACAGAATGAGCTATCTCTTTGATATCATGCTAATCCAAAATGTAGAAATATTTAAATTTCTAAAGATTTAACTAAGCCTGTAAAGGAATGAAGTCATGTTGGAGGTTCTCTGTGTTACAGAGGACCTTATCAATGAAAATACTTGTTTTGTCCTTTGTTTGTGTGTGTTTTAGCTTGTTATTTACTGTTGATTGAGTGACTGCAGTTGAATTGTTTGTTTATTACTGCTGGCTATAAATTGCCCTACAGAGACAATAAACACTCCTTAATTCTTGAATCTCACTCCAAGGCAAAACCCTATAGGTTTATGCTAATAGGCCAACAGGTTGAAAGCAATTTTAGAAAGAAACCTAAACTCCAACCAAGTCCATAACCACCACTATAATTTGTGTCTTACTCAAATAGAGGAATCAGTAAAACAAATGTTCTACCCCCCATAAAGTGCAATGTTGCATACCTCCTTTAGTGTTAGCATTCCAGTGACTTTAATGAATGTCTGTGTTTGTAAATTATTCTTACCAGCAGTAGAAGCAAAACCATATCTGCATGGTCACATACACATGCTACATGAAGGGCTGTCCAAAGGTCTTCGTCCTGTTTGTTGACATTTAAGCCTCGCTCAATCAGGACCTCGGCTGCAAACACATTATCATGGCGAGCACACTGCAGAAAAAGCAGAGACCATGAATCCCATTACAATTAGTTAAAAGAAAACTATATCCGGGAGCACAGCTTACTATCAACCATGCAACAATTAATACATGAGAAAATCATACAGCACGGTAATTAATCTTTTTTAACATCTATTGTACTGCTCTGTTGATAATTACATTGTTCTGAGGAGGAAATTAAGGCCTCAAGGAGACCAAAAACAACACATTAAATGAAGAAAAAATGACATTCATAGATGCTGGGCTTTATTTGATTTTGTTTAGCCAGACTGCAGAGTTACTTAATCCATCATTAATAGTAGTATCTTACCAGGTGCAGCAAAGATCCCCCTGAGGAAGTTGGAGTGTTGGGGTCTGCTCCCTCCTTTAAGAGACACAACACTGCAACACAATAAACATGAAGGTGTTAGCAGCTCCTGTAGGATGCTAGAACAAAGGCATTCATGTTGTTTATGATTATAAATCTACAGGTACAACATGGATTTTCTTTGAGCTCTTCTATGGTCAAAACATTTAAATTCTTGCCACTTTTTTAATATCCTGTAAGTCCCAACTTTAAGTATGTCGTTGTAAGATATGCTTGAATTCAAACCAGGATCCTAAAGCTCCTGTTGTTGATGACTGATGTCCTTGATGAATATATGTAAAATAAATATACCTGCCCTTTGGGATCAATGTTTGAGGTTTCTCATCTAAACAAATCCACTGAAGCTTGTATATTATAGTTAGCGTTGTTCTCTGACTTGAAATTTAATCTCCCTCAGTTCCATGCCTTACATTCAGCATTCAAACATTTTCTAGCATATTTACGCTGTTTTTAGCCTCATTCATATTTTTTTTTATCAACATCAGGCAACACTACAGCGCTATGCTGTCACCGCAAGGGTTAATTCCATGTATTAGAGCCCACAATGTCCAAATAGTTCAATTTTGGAATCACCTGACCTGAACACCTTCATCGTAAATTTTATTTTCTCAGCTGGGTCACCTGTTGAAAACTTAATTGAAGAAAAGTGCCCTCTTGGAAGTCAAATTATGTGCTAGAGGGCCCTGTCTGGAGTCAAAATGTGTGCTAAAGTGCCCTCAAGTGCCCTTTACAGTATAGAGCCAAAATGCACGTTAAAGTGCCCACTCAGCTGCTAAAGCATGTGCTAAATTGTCCTCTTGAAAGCAAAAATGTGTGCTAACATGCCCTCTCTGGAGCCAAAAAGCTAAAGCACCCTCTATAGAGCCAGAACACATGCTGAAGTCCCCTCTTGGGAGCCAAAACACTTGCTAACTTGCCCTCCTGGGTAATGAAATCTTTGCCTTGTCCAGGGTCAGGCGCTGCATCCCGCCGGACGTGGATTTGTCCTCCTTTATGAAGCACAAGGCTTGTAGAGCAGTTTTATTTATTTTTTTTTTTTACATTTTTGCTGGGCTTCAGCCCAATATCCAATCATAGAATGTAAACAATCCATTGATTATCTGATCTAACAGATGATTGGCTAATAGCGGTGCTATGTCAGATAAATGTCTGCTTCTCATTGGTTAAAAAAGTAAGCAAGGACCAGAGTGCTGCTAAGTTATGCATAGACAGAACGTTAGCATCATGCCAAAACGCAAGACCTCGTTTAACCTCGTCTGCCTAAATAACTGATGCAGAGCTGTGCAAAGTGTACCTTACTGTAAAACATCATCAATCCTACAGAAGTGTAGACTATGGTGTGAAAGTGGACAGAGAGATTTTCAGCTAAAATGGTGACCATAAAAACAGGTCTGCTGCACACTCATAGACACTATAGACAAGTTCCCAAAAGACTGAAGAACTTTAAAAAAAAACTATTCTTTTTGAGTAGTTGAAAGTGTTTTTCTTACAAATCTCTTTTGTTGTTGAAGTAAAAATATTCGTGTTTTTTTTATTATGAATGTTACTTGTTAAAAAGATTTTTTTTATGTTTAAGTCCACACATCTTATGCTTTGTGGCATTCTGCACTTTAAATATTCATATCAGTGGTCACATTTTTAACACCACAATGTATTGAATAAATACAAATACCGTGAACAAATTCTTTTTGACTTTTCATTAATATTTATTCCTATTCAGCCACACAAGAATCCTCTTTCAAACCCTCAAAATTGTACTATAAACAAGACATTATCAGATTCTTATGTACACCTTAGTAATTCATTGATATGCAGCATAATGTCCTCCTTTTTGGTGCTATAAAAATGGCTACCCTAGTCAAAATGCATACTAAAGTGTTGTCTCTGGAGTCAAAATGCATCTTAATATTATCCAGAGTGTCTACTCTGGATCCAAAGCTCACGCTGAAGTGCCCTCTTGGGAGCCAAAGCGTGTGGCTGCCCCTTCCCTTTAAAAATCTGTGCACGCCACTGATTTTAAAGACTGTTTTCTTTTCCCAAGTGTTCACTTTTTCTTTTTATATCGTCTAATCAGTTCTTTAAGCCTTTGCAAATCAGCTGCGACTCTAGGCAACTGGTTGGGCAACATAATAACTAGGGTTATCAGAGTAAAGTAGGTGAATTAAATCCATGTTTTAGTATTCAGATTTTTTACTTTCAACTTTTTGCAAACTATTAAGAAATTTCCTTCCTTCCTTATATTTGTATTATTGGTGTTGACGTAAAACGTTGAATCTATTACGACTCATTCACCTTTGTGGTTGAAATGTAACAAAATATGAAAAAAATGTTAAAGAGACTTATTGCTTTAACAATACACTTTACACAACTATGAACAGCTTCTCTCTGTCAAAAATCAATAGGATTCAAACATCCTGTAATCGCCCTTGACATGTCAGTGGGGAACAGTGTTAAAACAGTGCATGCGTGTTTGATGCTTACTTCCACTGCGTCGGTCAAAAAGGCAGTTGATTTACAAACCGTTACATCACTTACTATAGGATCCAATTGGATGCATAACCCACTATCACTTTGCCATATATCCGTTGAAGGAAATGCAACCCTTTTTCCCACAAGTTCTCTCATTCAGCCTTAGGCAAATGCACAGAGACTAGAAATCTAAATAAGGCCTCTGTGAGCTGATACATTTTTCATGGAACAAGGGAGAAGAACAAAGCAAACAGTGAGACAACATGTGAGAAGGTGCAGTGGAGTAGGTGACAGAGATACAGGGAGTGATGGTTATAAAAGAGAAGGTGGGACAGGGAGAGAAAGTGCTGCATTCTGGACATTTATGTGATATCAGTAATACTGACAGAACATGGTTACTCACTGTTACCACGGTCATATACAGTACAAGACAGAAGTGTATCAGCACAATAATAGCGGCTCTGAAAACAACAACTACAGAAGCTCAATATATTAAACCATGCTAATAATTCCCTTATGCTTTATTTAGGTTTTACGGACCTGCTTAAGTAATATTTTTCCACCCACACACAAGCAGACAATAAATGTGCTCACAAATCAGACACCTTTATTATTCCTGGTCTAATTTAGACAAAAAGCAAAACAAGAAAAACAAAAATCCACATAGAAAAATACAGAATATATACTACACATTATAAAGCATATTACTAATGGCAGATAAAATAAAAACAATACCCCTTAAAATTACAAAGCTAGTTATTTTGTACATAATGATATCAACCCCTTCTGTGGCATAGTATCAGCAACAGAGAACAGGAGGGTCTCTATTCAAGTCATTAACCTTGATCAACTGGCATGTCTCCTTTCGCAGCTAAAAAACAATCCTATTCACGGCCATGTTGTTCAACCACTGCTGCCTTGAACAAGCTTCAGTCTGCAGAAACAAATATCATACACCAGTTTGTTGTGATTAAATAAAGATTTTCAAAAACTTGAATTTAAAATGCATATGCACCACTCATTCCAAATATACATATGCGTGTCCTATTCATAGAATTACTATTTCGCTTTATTTGTTGAAAAAAATGCCCACTGCATTATACAACCAAACACAGCAGCTATCATATATGCATTCTTAAGGCTGAAATAAAAGTCTGAACTGCTTAAATAGATATTTGACTTAATGAAATCCCTTTGATGGGGTATTTTTCTGCTCTGTATTCGTAGTAGAAAGGGTTTCTGACCCATTATGGAGGAGTGATCTGAGGCCTGTACCACAAAGCAGGATTACTGGGTTAACAAAACAACTTCAGGTTTAACTCTGACATTCTGTTACCACAAAGCTGGATTCATTCTCAGCCTGGCTTCTGTGCTGATGGTTGTGATTAGTCCTCTGCCCTTGAGCCCACCTTTATACATGCAAAATCACTTTGTGATACATGCTTCTGGTCATTAATCTAAAAAATAGGGGCTCTTAAAGGTCTTCACACCCAGATGACATGATCAGAACAAGTGTTTAGATGGATTCATTGCATACTGGATGGACATAAGGCTCCCCTCTCATTCCAATACAATAACATTTTAAGTTCAATCTCATCACAATATAGCAATTACCTCTATTTACATGACACCTGTAAAAAAAGAAAAAGAAATGTAGATAGTTTTTTAACAAAGATCCATTGGAGTCTTTCAGTGGCTTTACAACCAGCAGGGACGCAAGGAGCTTCAGCAGAGGCACAGTAGTAACTCAGTCTCTGTGTGTGGTGTTTAAATTTCCAGTAATCAATGTGAGATAAAGGAACTTGCTCGAGGTTTATAGCAGAACGGCACACATCAGAAAGTAAATACTAAATTTTCTTACATTAAAAGGGTAAAAAACATCTGATTGCAACTTCTTGTTTAAAAAGTGTAAGTTTAAATGATTGTATTTGCTTATCTCTGTGTGGAAAAAAAGACATGTACAACATCAAAAGTAACCTGTCTTTTGCTTTATCCTAAAAAAAACCATTTAGAAAAAAAAAAAAGGTGTTTCCGTGGCAACCACATGGGAACTGGGACTTCAAGTTAAGAAACTGCAATTTTAGGGTCAATTACATAAAAGTTTTAATGATATACGGAGAGAAAAAAGGTTTAAAACAGATCCTAAGTAAAGCTTTAAGTAGCAGGAGGAATAGCACTATATGCAAATATCTTAAATTTAAAAAAGAAACAATCTTTAGCAAAATCATGCCAAGAAAAGGCCATCAACTATGGGGGTGTTCAACAATTTAAATTTTGCGATTTCTTTCATTGCTCTTAAATTGCCCAAACAAAATAAAAACTGCATCTATTCAAATCAAAATTAGATTCTACAGCAAGCAGTTTCAGTGCAGCACCAAAACATGTCCGTCTTTGTAAAAGTCTTTCTTCCAATAATCTGACCAAAACCTGAAAGCTTTATGAATGTTCATAAAGCAAAAAAATTAGGCAGGAAAAATTATATACTTTGTCAGCAATCTACCAGATGTTGTTCAAACCCCTCATATGAACAAATGTCTGACTCTGT